GGTCTTCCCTGTCTCCTGTGGAGTTTTCCTCCCTCCACCACTCTCACAAGCTTTCCTGCTCCTGGTTGCTGGACACACACCACTGCTCCCACCCTCTCTGGCCAGGCCTGGCTTGTTTATTTTCAGTTCCAGGAGAGATTCTCCTCTCCCCCTCTTCCATGCTCAGTGCGCCCCACCCTCTTTGCAACGTGTCTTTATTGTTCTTATTGCTTATTACTCAGTTTCTCTTTTTTTCCTGGGTGGGGAGTCAGTCTGTCCAGGGGGCTATGCTGATCTGGCCCAGGGTTGTCTGCGGGAGTACCAGTACCACTCACCTTGTCCACGTCTTCCCAAGCCTCTGGGCGTGGGCGTCTGGCGGCCCAGGGGCCCTCCTGATTTCTCCATTCAATGTGAAGTAGAGATGCTCTGCGCAGGCTGGAGGTGTGGAGGGGTCAAACTTTTGCCTCTTCTCAGTGGCCTTGCCTGCAAGGTTGTCTCCAACATCTCTCCAAGATTTCACTTTAGGAGGCATGCTTTCTGCTTCCTCCCTCTAGCCGCTGTCTTGGAATCCTTCAATCTCTTTGTTTTTAAACTTCATATATGCTGTGCTTTATAGTTCTTTTTTAATTTTTGCTGGTAATGGGCCTTACAGTTGGTAGGCAGGCACTCTACCACTTGAGCCACACCCCTAGCCATTTTTCATTAGTTATTTTTCAGGTAGGATTGCACATTTTTTGCCTGTTTTTGCCCAGAGCCGGCCTGGATTGTGATCTTCCTCCCTCTGCCCTCCTACATAGCTGGGACCACAAGTGCATGCCACCATGCCTGGCTTATTGATTGATGTGGGAGTTTTGTTAACTTTTAATCTAGGCTAGCTTCAAATCCTGATCCTCCTGATCTCTGCCTCCTAAGCAGCTGGTGTTACAGATGTGAGCCACTGTTCATAAGTTCTTTATTTATAATATTTCTCCCTTTGTTATCTACTGCTGTATTATAGATTAACTCTGAAACCTAGTGGCTTAAAATAGCCAGTTTATTATACTTACTGGAGTCTGTGGGTCAGGAATTTGGAAAGGACACAGCCAAGATGATGTATGTCTGCTCCATATAGCTGGCACTTTACCTGAGAAGACTCAAAGTTTGAAGTGATGCTTGAGCTAAGACAGCAGGCAGCTCTGTGGCAGTTGATTCGGACAGAAGCTGCATTGCTTTCTATGACCTAATCTTGGAAGTTGCATCCAGAAGTTACATAGCATTGCTTCTTCTACTATGGTCACCCAGTATTTATCTTTGACTCAAATCCAAAGGTTGTGATATAGATCCCACCTCTGAATGAGAGAAATGTTAAAGAATTCACTGATAGGTTTTTTGTTTTTGTTGTGTTTTGTGGTACTAGGGATCAAATTGAGGGCCTGGTGTTTGCATGTGCTTGACCACTGAGTTCTAGCACCTACAGACAGATGCTGAAACCACAGGCTCTTGTAGCAAATAGGAAGCCCCCATGTGTCTGAGCACAATCCTTTAACATCTCAGTAGGTACTTATTGAAGTTCTTTTTTTTTTCTCCTTAGGATAGGACCTAAAGTAAATTTATGTCTAAAGAAAGGAATGAGTTTAAATCTCTGTCTTAGAAAAAAAGAAAGAAAAAGGGAGGAATAAGATGTTTTACTACTTCACTCCTTAAAAACATATCCTTAGGTTGATTATTTTATTTATCTTTTTATTTGTAGGATACATTATTTAATGAAAAATCCATGCTCACGAAGTAAAAATGGCAGGCTTCCTAGATAATTTCCGATGGCCAGAATGTGAATGTATTGACTGGAGTGAGAGGAGAAATGCTGTAGCTTCTGTGGTTGCAGGCATATTGGTAAGTGAGAAAGCAAACTGATAAGGGAGGTGACATGATGTCTTATCTATTTTCTTTTTTTCTTCCTTCCTGCCTCCTCTCTCCCTCTCTCCCTCCCCCTCCCCCCTTCTTTTGCCATACTGGGGTTTGAACTCAGGGCTTCACAATTGCTAGGCTGGCACTCTTAACACTTGAACCACTCTGCCAGCTCTTTTTTGTGTTAGTTATTTTTGAGATAGGGTCTTTCAAAATACTTGTATGGGATGGTTTCAAACCTCAGTTACCCTGATCTCTGCCTCCTGAGTAACTACGATTATAGGCATGAACCACCAGTGCATGGTTGAACTATTTTATTTCAATGCTGTTTTGTATAGTTAGCAGGATTCCTGATACTATTACTTACTACAGAACATGGTAGGCCCTGGGTTTATTTGACTTTGTAATTTGTTAAACTTATCTGTTTTTCAGTTCTAGCAATAATACATTTATTATAGGCAGTAGCACTTATAACTTGATACAGTATGTGTAAATACTTTAATGTCCTTAAAGGGTCAGAAGTTGATGTTACCCAGAGTTACTGTGACTTATGGAAGGTCAGGCTGTGTAGACAGCAGTAACACCTTAAGCTGTGGTAGAGCCGAAGCTCTGCACCTGCCCTGGAGAAGTGATACCATCTCTGTTTCCCTAGCTACAGCCCTGAGGCTGGAAGAGGAAGGAATTTGTGGAGAAAACTATTGCTTAATTTTGTTTACATTTTTTGTCTTAAAAAAATTTTTTTGTACTGAAAATGTCGAAAATATTTTAAAAAGTAGACAATACTATCAAGATTCCCTGTCCTCCCATACCCTGTGTAGCTATCACCCAGCATCAAAAACAAAATCAGATCACAACCAGTTTTGCTTTATATTCTGTCAACCACTTCCTGCCTCCACTGTAGTTTTTGAAAACAAATTTCACATTTTTAAGATTCATCTCTTTCAATATATGGTTCTACACCTAAAGTCCAGTAGGAAAATCAAGCCAAACCAAGCAAAATAAGGCAGAGTTGACTAAAGAGAATTGTGAGAACATCTGCATGCAGAGCTTTTTTAGATGTTTATAACTTTTTTTTTCTTTTTTTTTTTTCAGTGTGTTCCTTGATTGTGTTTGACTGTGTTCATTAATACTTAGGGGAGGGAAGGATTGGTTTCAAATGATATTGAATTAGCTTTTCTTTTTTATGAAATCATTTTCAGGTTTACTAATTATTCCTCTTCATAAAAGAGTTTGAAAGCTTTTCATGGATGTCTTTTTAACAGTTTCAACAGTGTAATAAGCATGAAGGTTATGTGAGTTCCTTATTTTGTCAGTTTAGAAAACAGTCATCACACCTGCACTTAATTTGTCTAGAAAATACTTTAGCACCTTGTTTACTTTAGGTCTGTTCAGTGTAGTCGACATAGGAACCTTACATTTTACAAACTCATGTTCAGTCAGTTACATAATATTTAATTATATAAAAGTAAAATGACAGCAGCTTAAATAGTTTTGGAGCTATAACAGCTGACTCTTGGTAAGCGTACAGCTAATTTGTGGGAGCAAAAGTGCCTGAGGATATATAAGAATGTTCTCTAGAGTGTAGGAACAAATCAGATAATCAGGGGAGTTGGTGATGTTGGAGGTTAATTAGAGCAAAGTTCTGCATATAATTATGGCACATGAAATGAGCAGGTAAGACATACCCAAATAATTTTTCATCTTGTGCTGAGAGCAGAACTTCAGAATTGTGTTCAGATTTGCCTAGATAGGTTCACCTCACCTGCTGTAAAGAACAAAAGAGCAGATATTATGCTAAGCGAGACTTTGAGTGTTTTAGTATTTTGGGTCTTCAGTTTTTTACAGGTTGGTGGATCATGATTGATGCAGCAGTGGTGTATCCTAAGCCAGAACAGTTGAACCATGCTTTTCACACCTGTGGTGTATTCTCCACATTGGCTTTCTTCATGTAAGTATAAAGGTAATTCTCAATTCAAGATTATTTTTAAAATATCCTTCCCTTTGTATATAATGCTTTCTTGAATAACTTTAAATTTTGTTGATAGATTTTTCTTTTATTTTTATTTTTTCTGGTACTAAGGTTTGAACTCAGGGCCTTCACCTTGAACCACTGCACCAGCCCTTTTTTGTGTTGGGTTTTTTTCGAGATAGGGTCTTGTGTTCTTTTTGCCCAGGCTGGCTTTGAACCGCGATCCTCCTGATCTCTGCCTCCTGAGTAGCTGGGACTACAGGCGTGAGCCACAGTGCCCTGCTTGATAGATTCTTCTTTAACATGATGAATTTATATTCCCATTTTATTAAGGTGATTTTTTTTTTAGCCAAGAACAAATGTTGAATTTAGTCATAATCTTTGTAACATCTATAAGGATTATCATGTGACTTTTCTCCCTGAATTTTTCAAACTGGCACATCACCATATTTTGTCACTTTTAAAAAGTATACTTTTTCACACTTTAATCCTAGTATCAGGATAAATTCAATGGTTTCATAGAAATTATAATGATAACTTTTTTCTTGCAGTATTAAAAAATAATGGTACATCCTAAAATGGATATCATCTTAGATTTAATGAAATGTTGCCTTTCTATATGCTCAGCTTTTACCATGGAATATATAAAATAAAATATATACTATAATGAAATATAGAATAATACATATATCATCAATATATATGTGTATATATATGTATATATATATTCATATTCATATATATACACACACATATATATTCAAAATTAAATGAGCTCCTGACTGGCTTTGGGGCTGGCGGGGGAGGATTGACCTCATTGCGATTGGTGTGAGACTTTTTTTTTTTTCCTCCTTTTTGCTAATTCACTTTTAGGTTTAATAGTTATTCCACTTTATGAAAGAGTTTGGAAACTTGTGGATGTCTTTTGAAAATTTTAAAAAATATATTAAGCATTAAGATTATATAATTTTCTTATTCTATCAGGAGATTTAAAGAAAGGTTATATTATACAAATGAAACTAATAGGCATTCAAATTGCTAAGAAAAAGCAATTCCTTCTGCTCATTAATATACCTTGTTGTCATAGAAAGTAGAAAGAGAAGCTGAATAAAGTTGGCTTGTTTATAATACATACATGTTTCTTTTTCCCTGAATTTAAAAGATGGATCTGAGAAAAATCACTTGACTTTTAACTCAAAGAGAAACTGACTGTTTTGACTTTCAGTGCTAGGGATTGAGCCTAGGGCCTAGTGCATGCTAAGCACAGGCTCTGCTGCTGAGCTCCCGCCAGCCCCTGCTTAAGGCTTGATGACAGTGAGAATCTTGGAGTGGGACTGTTTAAGTCATGTGTGTAAAGTGGCAAAGAAATAATAAAATTGGCTGCTCTTTCATCATCTCTCGAGACAACTAGTAGAAATCTCTTAAAATACCTGTTTTCTGGGTGTACTTTAGGGAAAAACAAAACTGATGTAATATTCCTATCCACTAGGATTTCTGTTTGGTTAAAAGATATATTCAGTTATTTGTATTAGCTTTAGTTAGGAAATAATCCGTTTCCTTTCTAAGTGCTGTATAAATACCTGTAAGTACTTAAGTGGCATGAAAGCTCATCGGATGATTTTGTCTTGTTCTAGGATCAATGCTGTGTCCAATGCACAGGTGAGAGGTGACAGCTATGAAAGCGGCTGTTTAGGAAGAACAGGTAAAGGCACTTTAAGCCATTAATGGAGAACCAAAGCCTCCTTATAAGTCTTTTATCAAGATTGGTAATGATAATGTAGAGTGCTTTTCGTTAACTTTTTAAAAAGTCTTAGTGTTTTTCACATTCTATCTTTGTCATGTTATACTCCCCATGGCATCAATAAAATGTTACCATTCAGAATTAAGGGATCATGGACTCCAGGCTACTGGATTTAATAGTATCCGTAATGTTGACTAGTCGTGTTCCTTACTCAGGAGCTGGTCCTGATCACTACCAGCATAGCAGTGGATGCATCAGGCGATCTGGTCTAACGTAGGGTTCCAGTGCTTTTCACATTCAGTTTGCATGATAGGGGCTGACACCCACAAACTGCAACGAAACTGTTAAGAAGAAACATGCTCTTTGTCTGCAATTTTTTTTTTGTTTGAATTCTTTTTGAGTTGTCACCCAAGAGTATTTTTCCTTTATTCATGTTACAACACATTATGTTAGAATCCAGGGATTTGTTTTTGTGGGATTTCAGTGTCCTGTGTAAAAGACACAGCAAGAAGTCCTAGTTCCAAACTTCAGGGAGGGGCGGGCGCTCTGCAGTCATGCTTGGACATTTGGAGCAGGTGAGAGAGGGATCTTAAGGATGATTAGGAACAATAGCAAATACTTGTAGAATGCTAGTGTATACCACAGGCCATCCACAGTGCCTGGCGGTATTATTACCTCACTAGTTGTCACGGAGTCCCTCTGAGGGAAGTGCTTTTACTTGCCACCCCCAGTTTTAGGTGAAGGGACTAAAGCACAAAGAATTTAAATGATTGTTCAAGGTCACAGAGTAGTAAGTGGTGGAGCTGGGATTGAACACTGACAGTCTGGCTCCAATGCCCCGGCTTTTAGCCACTGTGTTATGCTCATTTCCAGCTAGAGCCATTTGGTCCCTTTGTCTCGTTTAGTGCCAAACAGTCAGCTTGGTTGAATGTACAATGTAATTTATGTACAGTAAAGTTCACCAACCTAATAGTGTCCAATTTGATGGATTTTAACAGTGTTTGGTTTGTGTAACTACCACTGCAATCATCATATAGAATTTGAAAAAATTGTTTTTTATTTATTTATCTGCAATAGGGTCTCACTATGTAGGTCAAGCTGGTCCCAAAGTTGCAAGCCTCCTGCCTCAGCCTCCTGAGTACTGGGATTCCAGGCGTGTATTGCCATGCTCACTGATTTACAACATTTTCATTACCCCCAAAGTGTCCTCATACTTCTTTCTAGTTTATCTTCTTCTCCCCACTTCCTTGCCCCAACTTGTCTGCTTTCTGTCATTATATTTTTACCTTTTTTATGATTTCATAAAAATGGAATTAAACAGTATCGTAACATTTTAAAGCAAACAAAACTGTGAAGAACATAGCTTCCTTTTCTATCTTATGCTTTAAATGCTGACATAGATTTTGTAACCTCACTGTACTGGGTACCATGGAGAATTGAGAAGGAGGGCATGGTGACAAATGACAGGTGAGCCTAAGGTAAAAGTGTACAGTATGTGTATATGCACCCACTTTTAGCCTATCCTGTGCCCCTGCCTCATCAGTGATTTCAACAATAAGGAAGGGTAAAGAATAAAAGAGAAGTTAGCAGGTACTTGCAAATAAAAATGTTATTTGTAGAGTACACAGTAAATTATTTGGGTTTTGTTGTTGTTGTTGTTGTTGTTTGTGGTATTAGGGGTTTGAAATCTGGGCCCCATGCTTGCTAGGCAAGCTCGCTACCACTCGAGCCATGCCTCCAGCCCTCTGTGATTGTTTTTTGTTAAAGAATATTATACAGACATTGCTGTGGATTGTTACTACTTTATGTTTTTCATAGAGAGAGAAGATGGTATTCATATTTGCCTTTGGTGAGTCTGGCTCCCAAGTTCATACTTTTTACCCTTGCTCAGTGATTGTTACATTCTATCCCATGAGTATTCTCTACTAAGTGAAAATTCACATTTTATGTTTATATGTGGTGCATATAGTGCAAGTTCTGTCTAGCATTTCAAAAATTAAGGACTGCTTCTGATAGTCTACCTTAGGCATTGCCACCTGAGCATTTGTATTACTTAAATGGCTTATTTGCAAATTATCTCCATTTAATTCCCAATGGAATTTGTAGAAAAGTGTCAAGATAAGCCAGGCATGCTGGTGCAAGCCTGTCATCCCAGTACTTGGGAGGCTGAGACAGAAGGATCTCTCAAGTTTGAGGCCAGCCCAGGCTACGTAGCAAGACCATGTCACACACACACACACACACACACAAATAATAAATATACTGTAAATAATAAAGCTTTAACTTTTTTTTTTTATTTTTTATGGTACTGGGGATTGAACCCAGGGCTTTCTAGGCAAGCATTCTACCACTTGAGCTATATACCCCCAGTCCTGTTCATTTGCCTTAACTTTGAGTTTCCGGGTAGCCAAAGCAAAAAAAAAGGAAAATCTTATAGTTCACTAAACGAACTATATATGTTATAGTTTCTTAAATGAAAACATACTCAATTTTCCAGAGGGTTTTTTTTTTCCTTGTTTAATTCTGTTGGAAAGTTAAATGTGTATGGCCATCTATAAAGGACATGTTGGAAAATAATTGCATGGATTTTTAATAATTCTTTTTATTAAGTTCAGATAAAGGCGCTGATTAGAGGTTGTCTTTCTCCAAGGGATGAAACATGACCATCTCTCTGGAATCTGCTGCTTAGTATCGTAATAAAAATCATCTAGAAGCCTACTTCTCTCATATTTCAGCTATTCTAACCGTGCTGAGCTTGGATCAGTGCTCCTGCATACCTCGTGTCTAAAATATGTATTTCTCTGCTCACTTAGTAACAGACTATCTGTAGTTAAGGCAGACTTAGTTCTCTGTTCTGGAAATTGGCGAGGATTTTGGCTTCCCATCAGCAGAGCTTTGTTCCTTTCACAGGGTGATTGGCTCTGTCAGGTGTTAACCTGGAAGAATGTGTTGAGTCCATTGAGTGACCAGATGATCATATTACGATTTTCTAGAATTCCATACAACACAGGGTCACAGAGATACTTTTCTGACCTTGAACTTTTCAAGGGTATGGGGTACAGGTTGGCTTCCTTCTCCATAGAAGGTTGGAATGTTCTTCTGAAGAAAGGCCGCTGAGCATGTATGGAGTAATGATGTGATTTTAGAAGCTTGCCACTGATTTAAAGGGGAAGTTCTGGTCCTTGTTCATTTCAAGTTTCTGCTTCCTGCCTGGCAATGGCTATCTGAAATAAGTTTGCTGCTGCTTATAGAGTGCAGTTATTTTGATAGTATATACAGCAGGATACTTTTTCAGTTAGGGGTTAATGAACTAACTTCATTAAATAATTACCAGTGAAGTTTGCCTTGTTTCCTCAGGTTGTATATTTGCTAGCCGGTAAAAAAGACAACTTTATTTTTCCCTTTTCATATGGTTTAACTTGTTTTAGTTTGTTGTGTGTGTTGCAGTATTATAGCAGCTTTATATCAATATGTGACTAGCTTTGATACCATAATATATACTAGCCAAACAGTGTTTCTAGTGTCATGTATTCCCAAGACTTTGCAGAGCTGCAACAATGAGCAATCATAAAACCTCTTCTTCACACAGGGGCACGAGTTTGGCTCTTCATTGGTTTCATGTTGATGTTTGGGTCACTTATTGCTTCCATGTGGATTCTTTTTGGTGCTTATGTTACCCAAAGTAAGTATGTATTCCTCCTTTATTTCACAGAATAGATTTAGATGGCTTTTATATTTGGCTTACTCTGTTAAGTCCACTGGAGTAAAATGTAGTGTAATTATTCAGTTAGCTTGAAGGTATTCTTCTGTGTAAAGATTCATTAATTGTTAATAAAATTTGTCACTAGTTGTTAATTAAACCTGTCATTGTGCAGTGGGATGGCCCCAGTTAGGAAATCCCAGTCACTAACAGAGCCTATACCTCATAGCCATCTTGAGAGTTCCTAATTCCTTTCCTTACCTTGGTCAGCCAGGCTTTTATGGCAGAGGCCCATTTATTAGGGGTTGCTATAGGGAAAAGTGAGAAACCAATGCAGGTCAGTAGTCAGGCCCTTATACAGTTCTGAAATCCACAGAATGCTGAAAATCAAGTATTTTGCAACCAGTTTGGCAATAAAACCTGACCTAACCTGACAGAAGGCTCATATGGTCTTCATTGTATTTAATATAAGTATTTAAATATTTTATTATAGGAATGAATTTAAATGTATTTGATTATGAATGCTGGTCCAGACCCAGCTATGAATGCTGTGTAATACATATGCTTTGCGTTACTGTTCTTAAATCTGAAAAATTCCAAATCCCAAAGTATGTCTTGCCACAAGGATTTCAGAGGAGTATGGACCCCAATATCTTTTCTTTTCACTCACACCTCCTCTCTCCAACCCCAGCCTATAATTTTTCAGTTGCTGTTATAAGGGGAGTTTTTACAGGGCATGCAGAAACAGGGGACTTGTTGCACCATTCTGTGTTTCCTGACTGTCCCAGGCACCATACATTTTCATCCAGTCTCAGTGTGGTCTGTGGAAGCATGGGAAGACCCTGGTAAACAGGAATAGGAGTTGGTTTCGTGCACCAAGATGTGTTCATCCTCTGACCCCTCTACCTCTGGATATCTCCTTGCCAGTCTTCACTCACTGTTGCATTTCCTTGTCCTGACTCACAGCTAAGATTTTGCAGACATTGACAGTAATCTCTTAAGCCTCCTAATTTGATTTGAGCTTTGGAATACCTATTTTTCTTTCCTTTGGCTCAAAAGAAGTGAGTTCAAGAGGACAGTGGTTGGTTAATGTTTAAATAACATTGCTCACCAAATATATCTTTTTTTTTTTTGTGGTCCTGGGATTTGAACTCAGGGCCTCAGACTTGCTAGTTCAGTGCTCTACCACTTGAGCCACTCAAACAGACCTCAAATATAACTAAAGTTTGCGTGTGTGTGTGTGTGTATTTTGGTGGACTGGGGTTTGAACTCAAGGTCTTACACTTGCTAGGCAGGTACTCTGCTACTTGAGTCATGCCTCCTCCCTACCCCCAGTCCTTTTTGCGTTAGTTATTTTTCAGGTAGGGTCTTGCCTGTTTTTGCTGGGTCAGCCTGGACCTCTATCTTCCTGCTTATGCCTTCCGTGTAGCTGGGGTACAGGCACATGCCACCACACCCAGACTTTTATTTGTTGAGATTGGAGTCTCGTTAACTTTTTGCCCACACTGTCCTGCATTTTTCCTAATATCTACCTTCAAGTAGGTTGGATTGCAGGTGTGAACCACCATGCCTGGCTTCAAATATGTTATTTTAGTTAATTATAAATATTAACAGAATGCTGGGGCACAACTCTGCATTAGAATATGTGCTTAGCACGTGCAAGGACCTGAGTTCAAAACAAACGCTAATAAGCACATAGTTCCAGTAGGTAGCCCCTAAGAAGGAAAGTACTAGGCTGGGTATGGTAGCACACACTGTAATTACAGCATTTAGGAGACTGAGGCAGGAGGATTGCAGTTTGAGGCTAGCCTGGGCTACATAGGGAGGCCCTATTAAACAACAAAAAAAGGAAGAGGGAAACTACTTCTTTGTATTTTTTTCTGGCTAAAGATTGAACACAGGGTCTTGTGCATGGGAGGCAAGCACACTACCATTTTTTTAAAAAGCCTCAGCCTCCAAAGTAGCTGGGATTACAGTTGTTTACTACCATGCCTATCTGTCAGGAAAGTACTTTTTTCAAAATAGTTTTATTGAGATGTAATTTATATATCATATAATTCACCTATTTAGAGTGTATAAGTCAGTGTTTTAGTATATTCACAGAGTTGTGCTGCCATCATCACAACCTAATTTTAGAACATTTTTATAACCTCAAAAGAAGCCTCATACTCATTAGGTAGTCATTCCCCATTGCTCCTCTTCCTTAAATCCTAGCCTATCACAAATGAACTTTCTGCTTCAGTAGACCTGCCTGTTTCATATAAGTGGAATCGTATAGGAAGGTATATTTTAAGCTCATCTTATTCCTGACTTTAAGACAGGTGGCCTGCTATCTCTGATTTTAGAAGGTCTGTGTATGTGAATAGAAATTATTTGAATAAGGATTCATGAATTGGGCAGCTCTCAGAATCAGACAGCCACAGACAGCTTTATCTGGTTACCTGAACAGTGTGGACTTCAGAGGCCGAGCACTGAAGCAGAGCAGAGCAAGCTTCCCCTTGACTATTGCTGCATGTTGGCCTTACTTGGGCGAGGCGAGATGGGCACCTTGCCTTATTTGGTCAGGTGACTGCCTTGATTTGCTGAAACCCAGCTATCTGTTAGAAAAACATGTACTCCTAGATTAAGTTTCAGTTTGTTTGCATACTAAATTAGTTTTTATAGAACACAAAGCACAAAGACAGCCTTAGGCAGTGACCTTCTGCTTATTTTAGCAGTGACTTGAAGTGACAGATGAAATTTCCACTTTCTGTAGTGAAAATGTGAATGAATATATTCCTTTAAGGTATGTAAGGAAGTATTATTTAGACAGCTTATACATTCACTGGCTGGATCTTAATCTTTAAAAACTAGTATAAATTGAGAAAGTTCTCAATTACGAATTTCATCTTCCTGTTTCAGCAGCATCGCTCATTATGATACTTTTCTGTTTATAAACTAAATTTACTTTTATTTCAGAGGATATTTCTGACATGTTTCAGACCTTTTACTGAACAGATTTTCTTGAACTATTAATAGACTAGCAGGTACCATTTATATTTAGGTTGAGTATGCCTAACCTGAAAATCTGAAATCCAGCATTTGAAACTTTTTGAGGGCCAACGTGGCACTGAAAGTGGAAAATCATGGACCTCATGTGATGGGTCTCAGTCTAAGTTCAGGCTGTATTACAAGGTGCACAGAAACAACTGAATTTCATGTTTGGGGTCCCATTTCCATTTGTATGCAAATTCTCCAAAATCTGAAAACACACAGTCCTAAGTATTTTGGAGAAGATATGCTCATCCTGTACCATTTAAAAGGCCAAGTACTGTCCTGAGCAGTGCACACTGTCGCTTACTTAATTATCCTTCTCTGAGGGAGAGGTGCTGCTTTAATCCCTATTTGGCACTTGAAGAAACTTAGATACGTTCAAGTAATTTGGCCAAGGTTATGCATTCAGTTAGTTATAGGAATAAGGTTTCAAGCCAGGAGTCTGGCTCAAACTTGATGCCGTTAACCAAGCTAGATTGTTTGCTAATATGTCAGCCACTAAACATTAACACCAGTTCCTTCCTCCTCTTCAGTGTTTTTCAATAGTAGAGATAAATTTGATTCTCCAGTATTTTAAATCAACATTTATAGTTTTACCATAGTTAATTTTCCACAAAAATTTAAGTAGTTTCTAATTTTTTTCTTTTCTTTTTTTTTTTTTTGGTGGTGGCGGTGGGGGTAGTACTGGGGTTTGTACTCAGGACTTGCACTTGCTAGCCATGCCCCCAGCCCTTCTTTTCTATTCCTGTGAAGACAGTAACCATTCCCTCCAGGGTACTCAGTGAAAGAATGTATTACTGAATTCATGAGAGAAAGTAAGTTAACAGACTGTTACATAAAATATTTAATTTGTATTTTTCTAACATTTTTTATTTCTGTTTTAGCCATAGGAGGGAAAAGTGCTGCTTTCAGCACTTTTGATGTAGCTGGAAGTACAGCAATTACTTTAGACAGAAAGAAAACCTGAGAAGTTCATTGACTTTTATCCAGACTAAGAACAGTCTTGTTTTAGGAGAATGGAATTGGAATTTTCTTTTTTTTTAGTGTGGTATTGGGGTTGAACTCACAGCCTCACACTTGCTAAGCACGAGGTCTGCCACTTGAGCCACAACCCCAGCCCTTTCTGCCTTATTTATTTATTTATGGCCCTGGGGTTTGAACTCGGGTTCATGCTTGCTAGGCAGGTGCTCTACCACTTGAGTCACTCTACCAGCCCTGCCTTAGTTATTTTTGAGGCAGTGTCTCTTTATGCCCTGCTGGCAGGGACCACAATCCTACTGTTTATGCTTCCTGCTTAGCTGGGATGACGGGCCACCACCCAGATTATTGGTTAAGATGGGATTTCACGGACTTTTTGCCCAGTCTGGCTACAAACTGCTATCCTCCTAACCTGTGCCTCCTGAGTAGCTAGGAATATGGGTGTGAGCTACCACACCTGATCTGAAATTGGCATTTTCTTTTTATTTTTTTGGTGGCACTGGGGTTTGAACTCAGGGCCTCACACTTGCTAGGCAGGCACTCTTACTTCTTGAGCAGCTCCACCAGCCCCCTTTTTTTTTATTTTTGTGATGAGTTTTTTCAGGGTCTTATGAACTATTTGCCCAGGCCCAGCTTCGAACCATGATATCTTCCCGATCTCTGCCTCCTGAGTAGCTAGGATTACAGGTCTGAGCCACTGGTGCCTGGCTGAAATTGGCATTTTCTAATTTCAGATTCGTTGAAGTCTTCTTAGAGCTGGTGCATAAAGTAGTATGTTGTAATAGATAGAGCGCATCACTGTGAATGGCACAGAGACTTTGCTATTGCATTTGTCTTTATAATCTTCTAATCTATTTTACTTTGTGTGCAGATATCGATGTTTACCCAGGACTAGCTGTGTTTTTTCAAAATGCTCTTATATTTTTTAGGTAAGTTGCCTAATTTCTTAACCACACCCATCACACTTGCAGAACATCATCTCTGTTATAAGAGCAGCATGTACACCTGATTAACTACAAAGGGACGTGTAAAGGTGAAGATATCAATCATAGCAGCACACAGAGGCCAGGGCTTCAGCTCATGCTCTGTGTTACCTTTTAACTCCCATTTACTACTTAACCATAATATGTCTAGTTATTCCATCTCATAGACGAGGAGTGCGGCTCAGCGCTTACTGAAGGATACCCACCTAAGCTAGTAAATGCAGGACAGGGATGTGAAAGCAGACAGTTGGTTTCATAGCCTGCACATTCTTAAAAACCATGTCACATACCTTTACTAAAAAAGAAAGGGAAAAATTAAAGTGAATGCCTGAGTTTTCTGATGAGGTTTTAAGGCAATTTAATATAAGTGTAAAAAAAAAAACAACATTAAAAGTGTTTCTCAGATCTTCAGAAGGCCCCCAAAGTGAGCCTATACTTGAATGCTTTTTTCAAATGAATGTCTTTTAACGTTTTCATAGGTATATTAGTGTCCATTTATAGTTATGCCCTCCAGGTCTAAGATCTAAGCCAAGCCATTAGGATGGATGGTGCGAGCTCCTTCCTGTTTCTTCTGCTTGGAGTTTATTGAGTTCCATGTGCCTGTGGGCTTACAGCTTTTCTCACATTTGAACTCTCCAGCCATTATTTCTTCAGATGACTTTTTCTGTCCATCCTGCCCTCCTTCTGAGATTCCAGTTACATTTATATGAGGCAGCTGCTGCTATTTCTCCTCCCTTCCTTTCTTCCTCCTCCTCCTCCCCCTTTCTCTCTCTCAGTCTCTCTCTCTCTCTCTCTCTCTCTCTCTCTTAAGGCAAACAGGGCTTTGCTATGTTTCTCAGGCTTGCTTCAAACTCCTGGGCTCAGCAGTCCTCCTGCCTCAGCTTAGCGTCACCAGTGGCTGGGACTTGAGGCATGTGCTACTATAGTAGATTCTTGAAGTTGCCCCACAGCCTTGTTCTTTTTTTGGTTTTTATTTCTGTTGTTTTTTTCTGTGTGTATTTCAGCTCAGGTAGTTTCTACTGTTAAAATCTTAGGTCTCTGGTCTGTACTTCTAAGTAAATCTCTCTATGTGAGGCACGTGTTTTTCATCCCTGGAGTGTGATTTGGGTCTGTTTTATGTTCTCCATATCTGTCTCTCTTTAACTGCTCACATTTTCTTCCACCTTCTTGGGTACACGCAATGTGTTCATAACTGTTGGTGTCCTAGTCTGTTTGCCTGGGTCATTCCTGGTTTTGCGCAGATCAAGTTTTCTTCTTCTGTTTACTCTTCACTTTGGCTCTGCCTTCCCCTGTTTGCTGCTTTGCATGCACTTTGTTGGGGTTGGGTGTTTTTAGTATTCTAGTGAACATTTTTGTCCTTTGTTTTCGGATGCAGTTAGATCACTTGGAAATAGTTTGATTCTATCAAGCCTTGTTTTTAAGCTTTATTAGACAGGATCAGAGCAGCTTTAGTCTAGGATTAATTTGTCCCCTTCTTAAGGCAATAAGAAGAGCTCTTAAGTGTTTTTCCAAATATTCCACTGCTTCATTCTGCTGAGGATTCTCCACTCTGCTTGTAAGAATATGAACTGCTGGGTGTGGTGGTGTACTTCTATAATCCCAGCATTTGGGAGGCAAAGACAGGAAGATCGTGAGGTTAAGGTCAGCCTGGGCCACATGAGGCTCTGTCTCAAAAAAAGAATGTGCACTCTTTCATCCGCATGGGAGCTCTGGGACCAGTTATGTCCAGTGCCTTGCATCAACTCATCAATACCCACCTGAGCAGGATCACGAGGCTCCTTGTTGGTCTCCTGGGCTCCCTGTGTAGCTTTCTATATTCTGCCTTGATACTTTCACCACTCTGAACTTCCTACACTCTGAACTCTGGGAGACCCTCACACTCTCTCTGAGTTTCCTCTTACTGCACTGTGACCTGGATTCGCTGATTTTGAAAGGTGTTGAATTTCTTCTCTCTTGAATTAAATTTCTTGGCATGTGACTGACCGCTTTCTGGGGATGTGATAAGTTTCACGAGGACATTTGTGCAGTACTTAGGGATTTAATTTAAGTTCGAGTGCTGCCCTTTGAGGTGGTAGAGGATTCTGTATAAATCACGGTTGAATGAATTAAGAAACCTTGTGTATCAAGGCCTGTGCTCAGGTGGACAGTGACAGCTGCATCAGCTGTGTGCGCTGCCCAGAGGCTGGCAGGTTGTCAGTGCTTCCATGTGCTAGGCTTGTTGTCAGCAGCCTGAGGTGCAGCCTCTCCTGCTCTTTGGCCACTCCTTCTGTTTCCTTTGCAAGCTCACCCTTCACTCCCTGTTTACTACTTTTGGTGTTTCTTTAAGCTTTGTTCTAGGCTGTGCCTTCTATTATTATTCCCTCCCTAGGCAAGTTCATTTATGCTAGAACTTCAGTTATGGCTTATATGCTAGTGAGTCCAAGCTCTGTACACCAATTCCTACTTAACATCCCTTCCTGGGTTGTTGGCATTTCAAATCCAACAGTCTACATGCCCATGACTCAGTTTACAGTCCCAGTGTCCCATCTTTCCACTCGCCCCCCACTTTGCTGAGATATTTCCTACTCTTCTTTTGGATCATAATTCAGCCACCACCACCTCAGGAAAATCTTTCTTGATCTCTCTAACTAGGTCAGATTCTTATATTTTACTTTTAGGATGCCATGTGTCTCTCCTTTGTGGCATATTTTGCAGTTGGACCTTGACTTTTTTTTATTATCTTTCTCATCACACTCTTAGCTCCATTAGGGAGCAAATTTGTTCATTTTTATTCAGTCATATCCCAGCACTTAGCCAGGGGCCTGGCACAGAGCCAGTACTCAGTATACAATCATTATTTGTTAAAAAGATGAAGAATTATAGCCGGGTTTGTTTTAGAATGCTTTAGTGATTGTAGCTCAGATATAAAGGTTCCTTGAGATGTAAAATGGCCCTAATGCCTGCATCCATGAGAAATGTCTCTTTTACTCACAAGTTTCCTATGTAATGACGTGCTAGACTTTAAAAAGGAACACTTCATTAAACTCAGCCATCATGGTTAAAACTACTTTACCAAATAAGCAAATTCACAGACCGCCACCATGATCTTTCATTTGATTTTAGAAATTGACAGAAAAGGATCAGTGAGGTACCTGTCACAGCATATCTAGAAAACAAATTCTGTGTTGCCTGTTCATGATTTTCCTCATGATTTGTATTCATATCTTTCTAGTACTCTGATCTACAAATTTGGAAGAACTGAAGAGCTCTGGAGCTGAGATCACTTCTTAAATCACATTTTCCTTTTGTTATATTCTATTTGTAGATAAGTTTTTATTCCTCAGTATAATTTACACATTGCCAAATGGAATAGATTGTAAATTAAACGTCTTGTTTCTTTACATTTTTATGCCCTGCATTTTGAAATAGTTTTGTGAAATTTCTGTCTTTCTTCATTGACTAGATTGTTCATATGTACATAATATATAAGTATGTAGATTGGATGATGAGTATCAGTGTTTTATTCCCAAGACTTAGAACTTGCTCTGTTCCCTGAGCTTGGGTTATGCCATCATGGTGTGTTAGAGGGAAATACTCTGCCTCAGTATCTGTGTGTCTGAAGATGTAAGAAGTACAGCTCCGTCTACCTGGAATAAGCACTGAGCCACTAAAGAAAGCATTTCTGCAAGTTGTAATTTGTTTTGGCTTAAAGTGAGATTTTTTTTAAAGGAAAAGTGTTTGTTCTTATGTATTAAAGAAGTGGACTTTTATATGAAGATTTTTTTAAATGCCCAAAGGGCTAGTTTGAAAGCCTCTTTTAAAAAGAATTCCTCTGATCTGTCTTTATTTGAGAAGGGATAACACATGGTGGGACAAACTCAGTGTTTATGGTTAATGTAAAAAGGCCGCACGGCAGCTCAGCACTGCGCTTCCCAGGACAGCCGCTTCAGCACACTCCTGGGTTGTCTGTCTTGGTGGCCTGCCACGTCTAGCATTATATAACTCCATAGCAGGAGCATGAACCACAGAACAAAAAGTGGAATCATTAGTTTAAAGACAAAACACTTCCAGAAGTAAATTATTATGACCTAGTGAAAAATTAGTCATTTCATTACTTAGGTCCTGACTGCAAGTCTCTTTTCGCTCTAGCTGTGCCGCTGTGGGTGAACAGTTGCTGCAAAATATATCTTCGCCTAAAAGTTCACAGCCCAACCCAAAACTGCCCTCACTGAGTCTGAACACTGCATTTGCACCATGTGTATTCCTGTGGGCCTTTATTGCCACTTTTGCTTCCCCTTATCAGTCACAAGGATTTTAAGTTGTACTTCTTCCCCTAGAGGGATTTTCTAGAGTCTTATGTGGTAACAGAACAATGTCAGGGGTAGCATATGCAACTTCTAATGCAAGCCTTACTTTGCAAAACTTCCCTCTCCTCTCAGAGTACTTAGTGTGCACAGAGTGTGAACGGCTGCGGAGTGCTGTGCCTGTGTAGATACATCTCGCTTCGTCACTTCTTGTCATTTTGTCATCGGAATGTTAGCAAGCTTTGTGTCGCTTCCAGCAAATTATAAGATTAATTACTTGTTTCTGCTCTTATAACTTATTGCAATAAATATTACTTCTCACACATTCTAGTATTGTTAAGTGTGTTGGGGAAAATGAACCATCAAAATTGTTTTCCTATCACTTTTCAATTACGCAAGTATACCTGATCAAAGAAGCAGTTCATCCTTATAAAATAAGGCAGAAATAATTTATTCAGACTATAAGATGCTAGTATGAAGGTTTATGAAGGGCATCCCTGATGACCGACTGAAAATAGTGATTTCTTTCTGTTCTTGACTCTCATGAATTTTTTAATTGTAAGCAAATAAATTAATTTCCTGCTTATTTTCCCATGAGAAAAGAGATGATGTTATTATACTCTCTTACAGATAATGTTAATCATTAAAAAATACATGATTCCCTTAATAAACATTTCACTGTAAAACAGGCTCATGGCTAGTGGATCTGAGTGACTTTTGTTTGTGTGTGGACCAGTATTACCAGAGCATTCTGTTGTATGATTCTAAGATCCTTGAAGTCCTTGCATTGTTCCCAGTGATGTAAAAACACAGGCTGGATTTTTCCATTATATGTGTTTTTTCTCATTAGACATTGAAATGCATCAATATGAGGACATAAAGAATGATAATATCAAACCACTTACCTTGGTCACTTGAACAAGGACCCCATGAGTTTTGACACAGATGCATGGAACTCATGTTCTCTACATTTTTCTCTGATAGAAGGGTTCTAGTTGTAATAGAAGCTCAGGAGCATTTTGTTTTCATTGTTCCTTTTTAGATTTAATTATTTTATATCAAAGAATCTCTGCTAGTCTCACATATTTCCCTTCCCTGTACTTTCCTGTGAGCAATATTTTTATTCTGATGCAAGTTTGGGGTTGCTTTTGGACATTTTAATTTCAGGTGACAAACTGTTAGGCCCTGAAGGGAAAACATCTTCTGAGGGTTAATTTTATTTTTCTGTAAACAGTTAATAACGCTTTGTTAAAAAATGCTCACACCTGTGCTGTTTTTCCCATAACAATCCCTTCAGGATATCATTTGTTTAGATACATAGTTTTGTGTGTATATCTATTTAAAGACTCCTTATTAACAAATATTGTTAACTCATTTACATTAAGCTGTGCCAACAGCACCATCACTCACGTGGAAGGGAACTTCTCGGTTCTCTCCCTGAGGCACATCCCAACCCTCATATGCTTATGCATGCCAGCTAGCACTTGAGTATCACACTTGGGAGCCACTTCAGATCATGCAATCACCAACAGGAAGAACAGAAGTGTGCAAAACATACCAAATAGACCACTAGATACTTGTTTGCAGTGCGAGAGCTGCAATGAGGTGGAGTGTCACCTTGTTCACCTGGCCTTGTCAGATGATTCAAATTACTCTCTGCACATACCTCAGATGGAAAATCCCTTGAATACTGTAAATTTAGCAAGTAGATGAACCTGTGAATATGGAGCCTCAATAATGAAGATGTACTATAGCCCAGGAGCTCCTACTGACCTTTTATGCCTTCAATACGGTTATTATCATTACTTGTCATTCCACTGAGGCGAGATAGCTAGGGTCAGGTGACAGGGAAATTAGAAACCATACCAAATCATAGTAAGTTTGGCCCAGGAACTAGGAACTGAAGCCTAAAAATCATTAGGACAGCGAGGAATTGAATTAGCTGTTCAAGAATGAGCAGATTGCATTCCTTGCATCACCTTCCCTTCCCTTCTGGATGTTAAATGAGATACGCTGCCCCCTGGTGAGTAAGATTAGAAAGTAAGTCTGTGACCAAAAATAACTAAAAAAAGACCACAAAGAACAGACATCCATGACACAAGACCCTTTGATTGTAAGGTAAACTCAGACCATTTGTCTCCATGTTTGGATGACAGTATCAAAAGAGGATAGTTGGACATTTGCTAGATGAACATACGTCCAAGGTGACTGGGTTTATATGTATAAATTTATATGTTAAGGATTTATATGTATAAATATGTATAAATAACCCTGGTTTGAAGACTACTCACTGAACTTATGCTCCTGCCGCCATTTGTCAGATGGTACTGGCCTATCCTCCTTTCCTCCCTGCTTTGTCTTCCTACGCTAAATAAATCTGTTGGCCTGCTACCTGTATTCCTTCGTGGATTACTTTGAAATTCATTTTGATAGTAACTCAAGTTCCTGAGGTCTTGGTAGTCTCAAAAAACTGAGTAGTGTGTTCCTTCCTCTCTTCTATCAGGGAGATAGTTTTTTTTTTTTTTTTCTGAATACTCTCCTGGGGACTATGGTGGTCCATAGAAATGGACTATTCTCTTTCAATACTGTCAGCTTGTCTCTTTGAAGACAGGCTCATGGCTTTCATCACAGGTATATGGGAGGCTGAGATCAGGAGGATCATGGTTCCAGGCCAGCCCAGGCAAAAAGTTTGTAAGACCCCATCTCAACAGAAAAAAGCTGCGCATGGGGCACGTACCTGTCACACCAGCTATGGTGGGAAGTGTAGAATTGTGGTCCAGGCCAGCCTGGGCTAAAAGTGAGACCCCTATCTTGAAAATAACTGCAGCAAAGAAGGGCTGAGGCATGGCTCAAGTGGTGGAAAGTCTGTCCAGCAAGTGGCAAGCCCTGAATTCAAACCCCAGTATTGCCAAAAAAAAAAAAAAAGCTAGCTTAATCATTCCACCTTAAGACCTCATTTTAGCATCATTTCTCTGCTCCCTTGTACTGTATCCTGCCAGTCTCACAATTTGAAGGCAGAGACTTGGATCTGAAGAGGTCTAGTAACTTGTCCCAGAGTTAGGATCAGGTTCGGCGTTTGTCTTTTCTCCTTAGCCCCAAACTTGTGCCCTTCACTCAGCTGGCATTTCCCAGACTTCCATAGAGCACTGGTGTCCCTGCAGGGACACGAAAAAAAGTGCATGTGAGAGAAGCGTGGGAAACCCTGGACTGAACTAGGCCCAAACACCATTTTTTCCTGTAAATTTTTCTGTTAGAGTGTTTATAAAATGTGCATCACGTATTTTAAGAGGGTTGATCATATGATGGTTTCCATGCTTGAGCCTTGTTCATTTACCTCTGGAACACATTGAGAAATGTAGTTTGAGGAGACTGCTTTAGGAAGATGGGTGGAGCTCAGGGAATTAACAAAAGCACAGGGGTGTGTTTGGGTGTGGATGCTGCTGGCTTCGGGGAAAGTCTTTGGCCTATGGATTTTAAGGAGTAGAAATGGTGATGAGGGGCAGTCCCAGTGGGATTCTTGGGGGACTATCCATGCTTAGGTAGGCTCACTTCTCCCTTGTCTTGCTCTGCCATTTATTAGATGTGCAGCTGTTTCCTGATCTTAAATGTTTTAGGTAATTAACCTGAGGAAACATAAGTGGACAATAAATAAAGGCCCTCCTAATTATTCTCTCCCCCTTCCCCAGCCCACAGCCTTGCCATCGTCCTCCGATGACTTTTTTAGCTTTTTGTCACAAGGTGGCGTGCCATGTTAAAAAAAAAAAAATCCAAGTCTCTTTTGTTTTGTTTTTTTGAGCCTGGAACTCACTATATAGCCCAGGCTGGACCTCTCCAGATCATCCTGCCTCTACCTCCTGAGGACTGCCTCCAGGTGCACCACCGCACCTGCTATGGTGGTTTTTGTTTAGTTGTGAGTGCCAGGGCTGACTATTTTGTAAAGGTTTTATCACAGCTTAAATCATATGAAAATACATGCCCCTTCAATTATTTTAGCTGTAGCAAACAGGATAGTTTACATTTCTATAAGTAAGTGTGGGAGGGTAGTTTCTAGACTTTGTAGATTATGTGAGTGTAGACAGATGGAATCTGATGTCTGCCACCCCAAAGGCCTGGGCTGAAAACCAGAAAGCAGGCCCAGAAAATCGGGCTTATTTGCAGCTGTTTCTACTCCTGGTGTAAAAAGTGATTGAGTTTGAGGTTAAGTGCACTCTGACTACCTCCCACTGTGAATGCTGCGAATTTAGAGATTGGTTAACTTTTTATTTTAAAATGGCTTCGGACTTACAGGAAAGTAACACAGATTCCTGTATGACCTTCAAATTACACCATATTTGCTTTGGTTTGTTTTTTTGGGAAACGTCAGATTTAAATCAGTGCCTCTTATGAATGTGTAAGTGTGTATTTCCCTCAAAATATAACTGCAATACAATATCAAAAAACAGGAAATTAACATGGATACAAACTATGCACTGTCTTCCTCTTTTTCTCACATGCTCCACTAATGTGTTTTATAATAAAGAAAAATTTTCTTCTGAATCTGATTTGTGATTACACATTGCATTTGGCTATCATGCTCTTTCAGTGTCTCTTAAATTTGGAACGATCTTCAGACTGTGTCTTCCATGATGAGGCATTTGGAATTTAGTGGCTTATAAGTCAGGATTGCTATAAATGTTGTGTGCATTTGTGTTCTGTATAGGCAGTACCCACCCCTACGGTTGTGCAGTGTACAACCTACAGGGCTGTACTCCTGACCCTGACCACTGCACTGTGCATCTTTTAGTAATGGCATGGGGCTGGCCACTTGAGACGTATTCAGGACTGCTTTGTGAGTGCCCCAAGTTCAAAGCCCAGTCCTATGAGAGAGAGAGAGAGAGAGAGAGAGAGAGAGAGACAGAAGTATTCAGGGACAAGGTACACACAGTTGTGCTGAAGTTCATAGCAACATTTTGGAGGGAAAGTGCATTGATTTAATTGATTAATTGAATTTTGTGCCAGGCCAAATTTTGTACTTGACCGACCTTCCATAAAGACCACTTAATCCACTGGGACTCCGTAGCTTTTAATGGGTTTAGAGCTCTTATGCTTTTTGAGCATAAAAATATACTTATAGGCCACAGAGAACATACCACCCTCCATGCAAGATGAAACAAGTTGAATTAATATCTATGTTTATTACACCTGTTAGCCATACCTCTATTGAGTTATAAGGACATCATTAATGACTTTTGAAAGTGATTTTATGTTATGACTAGGTGTTACGTATGCCGTGTAACTTTGGGGGAAGGTCTCCTTCTCTCAACCCCACCTCTTTTTTTTTTGATACTTGAGGGGGCCTGGGAATCCAGGGCTTCCATCTTTCCACACTGGGATGGATTATGAAGCTGCATTATTCTCATGCTTCCTGGAGTGATGGGCCGTGGATTTGAACAGAGCCCTCACCTGAGCACGGGCTGCTCCAGGGTCCCCTCTTCTAAGCACAGCCATCTGTCTGCCCTCACCACACACTGAGAGCAGGAGGAAGAAAGCACCTGTGCTCCAATCCTGCGGCTGAGCCCTGGCTTCTCCAGGGAGGCTATTCCAGCATTGAGGGGCTGGGGGACCGACTATGTCATGGAAAAATGCCTGGGGGCACCTCACCTCCCACCAAGCAGGAAGGATGGTGCCGGATGTTCTCATCTTCTATACAGGCAACTTGGCAGACAGCAAATATGTTCTGGAGAGTGCTGGGGCACCTCAGAGAGAGGGGTGACCGCTTAGGGACTTGCAGCCTTATGTAACATTACTGAGAAGTGATTTAGAATGAGTCTCAGAGGTGATGACCCAAGCATCAGCTAGAAGTTGAACTGTTCCCTATGTAGGCTGTTCCTGGCAAGAGGCAGCACCCATTTCTCCAAGGTAGTGCATTGGTCACTGTGCTATAGGCAGGGGAAGTCTCCCTTCTATATTCCTACCACGCCTCCAACTCCTGTCCTGGGGTCTCCCCTCTTTATCCCCAAGCCCATCAATCCTTCTAAAACCTTCTTTCCTGTTCACCTTCTTGGGTCTCAGCACCATTCTATGTAACAGAGAGCTCATGACAAGACTTTATCTCCCTGGCACCAGTGTCCAGTTTTCACAGTTGTGCACTGTACAACTGCAGTGGGTGTCCTTCATAGGCCAGGCGTGGACCATGTGTCTCTGAAGATTGTGGCACTCAGAAATCAAGTGTCTTGAAAATAGGGTACCTTTATCCAATTCACACAAACTGTCCTTGTAGGCTAGTAGTGGCCTTGATCCAACTAACCTGCATCAGCACTGACTGATTAGCTCTTGGTACAGAGCCCTCCCTCCTCCACTTACCTGCATCCTTCTGGACCGTGTCCAGCCTTCCCTAGTGCATAATCCACAATTTGCTTTATAGGGTGTGTACAAGAATGAAATCTCTTCCTCCTGTAATTTGTGACCTGACCTCTGTGTTGAGTAGGTGAACTTGCTGGGCTGTAACTGCTTAAAATTAAGTTGTAGGTGGGTTTGCTCCTATATAATGACACTTCATTGTCCAGATCAGGGGTCAGTGAACTCTTTCCATAAAGGGCGGGGTAGTAAGTATTTCAGCCCTGGTGGGCTGTTATAATACTCTGCCTTCTAGTGCAGAGGCAGTGTAGACCACGTATAAATGAGCCTTGCTGTATTCCAATAAAGCTGAATGGACCCAAAAATTGGAATTTCATTTTTGAAGAAATATTATTCCGCTCCCCCCACCAACTATTAAAGATGTGAAAATGATTCTTAGCCCACGGGCTGTCCAAAACCAGGAAGTAGGCTGTGTTTGTCAAGTGGGACATGGATTCTGCTGTTCTAGATGATTTGTAAAATTGCTTCCAAGATTTTATGGATTGTGTACTTATTTTAACTAGAAATTAAAGTCCCAGATATTTATATTAGAAATAAATGATCAGTCATTTATTGTACAAAGTAGATCCAGGCATTTCTGTTTTTGGAAAATGCTATTTTAAAAAAGAGCTGTCTCATTCAAAAAAATTCCTGTCCTTTTCCCCTGAATAGTAAATAGGCCAGAACCATGCCCATCCATGTGTACTGAGGTGGGATGGTGAGGAGGGCCTGTAAGCTGGCCCTTGTGATGTCTCTGCTGGTAATGGGTGAAGTTTGTGTCAGGCTCAGCTCCTTCTGTCTAACAGAATAACCTTGGGCAGCTCCTGCTCCTCTTTAAAAAAAAGAAAGAAAAGAAAAGCTTCTGGAATAACGTTGGCCCTGGGCTTAGGTTCTGAGTCTGTCACCGACTTAGCTGTTGCCTTCAGCCAATAGGGCTATGTTTCTGAACCAGAACCACAGTCACCTGCCCTAAGAACTAGACCAGTTCCCCACTGGATCCTGTTCAACCTCTGACAAGCTGTAACCCCCTCTAAGCAGGGTGACACATGACTCCTCAATGACAGAACTGGTCTGTCCCCTTCCTTCTGGGCTCAGACCCTCTCCCGTTGTCTTCTGGCTGCACAGTCTGTCCTCCATACACATGGGTACCACATCCAAGGATTCAACCACCACTGACTGAAAATATCTGGAAAAACCCTGCATCATTCTGAACATGTTCAGACCTCTTTCTTGTCATTTTCCCCTAAACAATGCAGCACAGCAACTGTTTACACAGCACTGACATTGGATTGTGGATTATAAGCAATGTAGAGATGACTTGCAGAACACAGGAGCATGCATAGGTTGTGTGCAAACATGACACCATTTGTACAAGGGGCTGGAGCATCTGGGCATCTGGCTATCCTTGGGGTCCTGGAATTCATCCCCTGATGAGTCGTATGGGACAAGGTAGGGTTGTACTTCTTTCCCCCTCCCTCCCTTTCCTTCTTTATTTTTAATCTCTTTTATTGGCCATACTTTTGGGGTTTGAACTCAGGCCCATGTGCTTGGTAGGCAGGAATGCTACCACTTGAGCCACACTCTCGGCCCTTATTTTATTATTTGTGTGTGTGTGTGTGTGTGATGCTGGAATCAAATCCAGAACCACACCCTGTCCTTTGAACTCTTGCCACCCTAAACGGGTACACAACGCTTAGTCAGAAAGATAGCCAAGCCAGGTGCCAGTGGCTCACGCCTGTAATCGTAGCTACTTAGGAGGCAGAGATCGGGAGGATCATGGTTCAAAGCCAGCCTGGGCAAACAGTTCCCGAGACTCTCTCTCAAAAACATCCAACACAAAACAGGACTGGTGGAGTGGCTCAAGTGGTAGAGTGCCTGCCTAGCAAGCATGAGGCTCTGAGTTCAAACCAGAGTACTGACAGAAAAAAGAAAAAAGGAAAGATAGCCAATTTATCACCAATAGTACAGGGCCCAAGAGAGGAAGAGGTATCTCGGTTAACTAGTGCTAGGAGAGTCATTGACCTACAGATGCATCTCTTTCCATTGTTAGGACAAGACTGTCTGTAGGACTTCTTCCTGAAGCAGATGACGGCCACTCTGTTACTTTGTGTGGGAGGTGGGCTGAACGTTAAGACTAACAAACAGGTTTGAAATACACGGCCTGTGACAGAGGAGTCCCCCAACACTGGCACAATCAGATGTCTGTGCTCAGTGGATGACGCCATTAGTTGAGTCTTTTTATTTAAAGCTCACAGCTTCTGCCTCGGTCAACACAGTGTGACTCATCATACAATGTACCAATGTCACTTCTGAAAATTCCCTCATAACTTTTCTAGGAATCAAGTGACACTGTAGAAAGTTCTTGCTGAGTTCCCAGGAGGTCTCATCAGTTTACTGGATGTTACTTACAGAAACAAGTTTAGAAACAGTGACTTTAAAGGCAATATTTTGCAGAAAATAGGCCAAAATGTGGAGGCTCAAGTAGAAAGCAAGACTTCACAGACTTTTTTTTTTTTTTTTTAAACAAAGTTCACTAAGTAGTCCTTTATTTCTAGCTTTTAAAAAGGCTTAAATTATTAGGGAAATATTTACAAGATTAAATTTTTTTGTGTAGGCCTGGGGATGGGACCCCGGGCCGTGTGTGCTAGACAAGTGCTGTACCACTGAGATACACCCCAGCTCAGGGCTGATCACCTAGTAAGCCATTAGCCTGGATGTGAAGGGGCCATTGGGTCCCTCGTTGTGACAAAGTCAGGAGACCTAGTCTCGCCAACAATGAAGAAAACACCCCATGTGTATGGTAGTCATGTTCCCAGCACATAACTGCATGTCTTTTTAGTGTTTAAGAGAACCTTAATTTTTTCTGTAGAATCATTCCAGCAACTTCTATGATCCAGAAAATTCTTAAAGGAAGAACAGTAGGCTGCCTTGCCCTGAGACCCGTATTTCTTTCCAGGCACAGATTGGCCTCCTGAAGCAGAAGTCTGGAGCACTGGTCTGTGTGTGGTCCAGAAGAATTTGAGTGGCTTTCCTGCTCACTGTCCCCTTCTCTGGTGTGAGCAGGCTGGTGTCCTAGTCAAAGTGTCTGCAGGACATTTTCTTGCTCCTTTTCTGAAAACGAAACAATGGACACAGAGTCCCAGGCGTCATCCTTTGGTGAGCTGTCCTTGTCCAAAGCCTCCAAGATGGGTTGATCTGGGTCCTTTAAATACTAGAAAAGGTTGAAAACCAAAATTCTAATAAGTTTACCAGTTCCATATTTTATGCTTCATAATTTTTTTAAGTATGGTGCACTGAGTCACACTCCTAGTCCTGAAATAATTTCTAACACTGACACCTTCACGCCTCATGTCTGTAATGACTTTACTAGTAACCCAAGGCTAATGATTTAAGCCTCTGTAAATTGTGACAGGGCAGAGTTCAGGAAAAGCAAGCAGGAATCCTTGCTGTCCTCAGTGTAGACTTGTGGAGTGTTGATCCTAAAACACTTTGAAAATGTAACTTTTCAGCGAAAGAGGAAAGGGGACCTCTCATTCAGCTCAGGATGTACCCATGAGCAGAGCTGGGGCCTAATGTCCTCAGGCCCACACCGCCCTGGCTCTATGTGGAGGCCTCAGTGTGGAGGGATGGCTCACAGCACTGAGCTGAACCTTCTCTTTTGCTCCTTCTTAGCCATATTCACTGAGTTACTGAGAAACTAGTGCCTTGCTCTTGGAAATGCTGAAAGTAAGCCTATGGCTGACTGACTAAAAAAGGAACCAAACTGATCACAAGCAGTTGCGAAACCAGAAATCGAAGTGGAACAGGATTCATTTTTTTTGGTGTAACAACAGAAACTGTTGGTAGATGTTTTTCACACTTTCCCAGAAAAGTGAACTGAAAACCCGTGTTTTAGAGTCACGTTCCAGAGGAACGACTCACAGTAAACTCACTGACTAGGGCCCAACTGGAGGCTCTTACCTGAGAGAGAATCAACACAAGTAAAATTCTGTCACCCGTGGAGAGACAGCTGGTATTTTGTGACAATATTAACCAGGAGGTTGTAGCAGGGCCATGTGTACCTTGAATACATCCCACAGAGGAAGGAGCTAGTGATTTCAGTTCTTTTTAGAAGTGCCACTGTTTTTAGGGACTTGGACCTTATCGAGTATCTATCTGCCCAATACATAACATAAGATTCTCTTTCTAACACCTTTGCTCCAAATTGGCCAAGGATTAAAGTAAAAATCTCTGGAAGCAAATACTTTTTTTGGACAGGCTTTGAAGTCAGGGCCTTACACTTGCTGGGCAGGCACTCTACTACTTCAGCCACATCCCCAGGCCTTTTTTCTTTGTTATTTTCCAGGTAAGGTCTTGCGTTTTTGTGCAGAGCTGGGCTCAAACCATGTCCTTCCTATCGATGCTTCCCAGTAGTTGGGATTACAGCTTTGCACCACCGGGCCTGATTTATTGATTGAGATGGGGGTTTCACTAATGCTGACCCCGAACCTTCCTCTTGAGTAGCTGGGATTATAGGTACGAACCACTACAACCATCAGCCAACACTTTTATTTACTTTTTTGCTGGGAATTGAACCCAGAGCCCAGAGCTTGCCAGTTATGTGCTCTAGCACTGATCTACACCCCCAGCCCTGGAAGCAAATTTTTTTTAATTAGCATATATTAATTATGCAAAATACTGGGTTTCATGGACGCAAACACTTTCAAATGTTCTTCTCTTAACTACTTCGTAGTTCTAAAATTATCCTGAGTCCTTACCTGAGGCCCAACCACTTCCCACAGCCATGAGCGCTGGGGCTGTTCAGGGACCAAGACTGTCTGTAAGGCCCAGTCTGCTTTTCTCTCTCAGGTTCTTTAAAATACAGGTGCCACCTACTGAGTGCATATGGTACAGCACCCCCCCTTCTTTTTTTTTATGGCACTGGGGTTTGAACTCAGGGCCTTGAGTTTGCAAGGCAGGTGTTGTACCGCAGAGCCACACCTCCAGCCCATTTCACCTCCAGGCCTGTGCTCACTTTTCCCTGGGTTCCTAGGTCCTGCTCCTTCCATCCACTTGCTGCCTCAGGGAGGGGCCTGCGATGGGCTAGGCACCTTTTTTGGTCAATTCTGTGCCTTTTTTATAAAAAGAATTAGTTTGTGGTAAAATACACGTGACAAAATTTACATCTTAACCATTTTAAGTGTGTGGGTCAGCAGTGAAGTTCACCCATAATGCCAAGCAGCCAACGCCACCTCCCAGTCCACGGTTCTTCTTACAGAACTGAGAGTCTGCATCCATTCGACACTAGCTCCCCATCTCCCACCCCCAGCTCTGGCAACCACCTTCTGCTTTATGTCTCGTGCACCTGCTGTTCTAGGGACCTCACGTAAGTGAAATTAGCAGTATTTGTCCCTCGGCGACTGGCTTATTTCACTTGGCATCATGTCTTTCAGGTTCATCCATGCTGTAACTTTCAGAATTTCTTCCTTCTCTAAGGCTGAGTAATATTCCATTGAATGGATGTACCACATTTTGTTTATGCAGTCATCTACCAACGGATACTGGCTCTACTTCCAACATTTGGCTATTGTGAATGCTGCTGTGTGGTTCAGGGGTTTGAACTCAGGGCCTACACCTTGAGCTACTCCACAAGCCCTTTTTCGTAACGATTTTTTTATCGAGATAGGGTCTTGCAAACTATTTGCTAGGGCTGGCTTTCCTTCTGACCTCTGCCTCCTGGGTAGCTAGGGTAACAGGCATGAGCCACTGGCGCCTGCCCCCCACTGGGGTCTTGCTATATCTCCTAGGCTGGTCTCAAAATCACAAACCTCCTGCTTCAGCCTCCTGCATACTGGGATTACAGTTGCCCCGCCATCGTGTCCGGCGAACCCTAAATCATTTTTATCTCAAATGTCTGGTTCACAGCTTTGTCCACTGGGGCAGTCTTAAGGGTGGCCAGGGGGCGCGGAGCCCTCATGCGTGTGCACTCACCTCTTCTATTTGTGGCGGGATGCTTGGCGGAGTATGAAACCAGTATTTCACCAGGCCTCTGTATTTCAGGAAGAGAAAGCGACAGGCCCCTGCCAGTACCAACAGCAACGACAAGACTCCCAAACAGATCAAGGCAACTTGTTGGACCTTGGTGGAATCTGAAAAGGTGTTGTAAAAGTGAGCAAGGTGACTATCCCACCCGCGAGGCAAGAATCAATTAGTGCTTCATCCACCCCTGCTTAAATAGCAGTTGGGTCCTAGGAACATGGACAAACTCCCTCCCCTTGCTCCTGCTTCTATGTTTAAATTAATGCAGGATGGGTATCCTTAATCCATAAGCATGAAATCTGAAGCGCTCCAAAATTTTCAAAACTTTCTGAGCATCAGTTTGATGCCACAGGAGGAAAATTCCACACATTAAAAATATTGTATAAAATCACCCTCAGGCTATGAAACAAATGAATTTCATGTTTAGACTTGGGTCTTATCTTCAAGACATCTCTTTGTGTATATGCAAAAATGCTAAAATCTGAAAAAAAATCTGGACACAAAAATCTGGTCCCTAGCACTTTGGATAACGGATAGTCAGTGTGGCTACCTGGCCACCTGTGCACTGCAGATGTCAGCACAGCTAAGAACTCCTGGGCCTCTCCAACCCCACTCCTGTTTGCTCATAAACAGCTCCTGATTCAGCAGTTTTCCCAGCCCTAAAGGATATGAGAAGATATGTTTCACCATCTGCTGTTGTTTTGTAGCAAGATGAGTTGCTTAAATGCCCAGGTCTGGTGATATTTGGTATGGTCCAAACCAGATGTGCCTTCACTTGTAAACAGTACACGCTTGACGGCTTCAAATCATCCAACAATATGGAGTTACTTCTGACAGGGCCTTTCACCTGTTAAACACACCACAATCACATGTTAACCACTGGGAGAGACAGAGTCAAGCTGCTTCTAGTTTTTCCAGTGCTTCCTCAAGTTCGCAGTAGACACAATCAAACAAGATGTTTTTAGAGCCACTGGCTAGCAGGGGACAAATTTTGTCTATGAAAATTAATGAGTAGAGTGATAAGAGATACCAATGGCTATAGAGCTGTGAAGTCTAAGAAGCCCTACTGAAGCAAGTAGAATTGTAGATCTTAAATTTCTAGAATTTTCTCCTTTAAAAAATTAACATCTTGCATTTTATAGGTATGTGATCTAGGTGTCTTGAGTTAGTCAGCAGAGAAAAAATATTCTAGGAAATTATGGTCCTGTAATTCCTAACCTGCTTCTAGTTTGAGCTGAAATGTCCTGTTGCTCATACAGTGATGGTCAAAGTGACCCCAACTGTCCAGGCTGCCTAGGCCCCTTTGATCTGTCACCCCTCTGCCTGCCACGGCCCCTCATGTGCCTTGTGTTCGGGGCTGATCTTAGCTCTTGCAGTTCCACTGTGCCAAGCCTTCTCATCCCTGCTGGTACTGCTTCCTGGACTATCCCTGGAGACTTTGACCTACTCACATAGATCCTCTCTGCAAACTGCTCAAAGGGTTTACATAGACAACCCCTGCCGACCACAGTCAGGATTCCTTATTTTCCTTGGACATGCAAAGTGGCCATGGGGGTATCCACAACAAAGGGAGGGGAGAGCCTGGTGACCTGTCCTGGGGTTACCCAGATGTTTTTTTGGAAGCCTGACAAGTAACTGAAGTTGAATTTCAAAACTGTTGTGGTCTGCTAAGGCTTAACTATATAAATAGTTTGACTAGAAACAGGTTCACTAAAACTTCCCCCAATGTCCAGAGGTGGCAAAGGCAAAAAGTCTGGGCCCCAAAAAGTGGAAATGGGTGACACCAAAAAAAGCCCTTCAGATCAATCTGGCTGGGGGAAGTCTCAGCACGGTGAGTAAAAGATGGATTTGGAAGAGCTAGACTAAAACAAGCTCAGGACTCCCACCCAGGAGAGACTGGGAGGCCCCAGCCTCCTGACTCATGCTAACGTTTTCTTTCTTCTCCTAAATCAGAAACTCAAAAGAAAAGCAAAACAAAGAGGAAAAATGCTCTTGCCTGTTGGATTCCTTTTTCTTCCCAGTAATGGACATAGTACCAAAAAGTGGCCATGGTGGTATCAATGTCAAAGGGAGAGGAGAGCCTGATGATAAGGGAGTTTTTTCCTGGGGACACCGAGATGTTCTTTGGGGGCCCGACAGTAACTGAAATAGAATTACAAACAAAAAGTCATAATATGCATAGAGACACTCTCACATACACACTCCTACATACTGTGTGTGTGTCTGCTGTGTACGTCATAAACACAGTATATACATGGTGTATGCACACACACCCAGTTGTATTTACACAGCAATGAGGTCACACTCAGACACACAGGACTCCAAGAGGCTGCTGGTGGCGTGAGACTCTCTTGGAAGTAAACTCCAAGTGCTCAGAGGGTGCTTGCAGCAGTCCACTCGGTGACCTAGAGCAAGCCTCTCTGTTTGCTCAGGGAAAAGGTCAGTACAAGGAGGTGAGATCACATCAGATCAGTACAGGATCCTCCCTGGCTGAAAGAAATCATAGTCAATATCTCTTGTTACAACTCCCAAGAAGCTGTTTCCTGGTCCCCACCACGACATGCCCAGTTACAAGAAGCAGTGCATTTAGCAGGGCTGAAGTATACAGCTTCCTCTAGGCTAACATTCCCCAGTCTGGGATCATTTAACCCAAGCAATGCTGCCAGAATCATGGCTGACATAGTGCTTTTGTGAAATACCCAGAGGAACAAAATCAGCAGATCAGCCAAAGGGCAAATTTTCATGCAGAGAGGGAAAAGATTTGTTAGCCTTTACCTATTCTTATGTAAAATTCCAATATAAGTGAACAAAAGTGGTATTTAATAATCTATTATTATTTATTATTTTTGACAGTACTAGGGTTTGAACCCAAAGCCTCACACTAGGCAGGTGTTCTACCACTTGAGCCACTCTGCCAGGCCTTTCTCATGTTGGGTATTTTTTTTGAGATAGGGTCTCACTTACTGCATGGGCTGGCCTCCTGATCTCTGCCTCCCAAGTAGCTAGGATTAAAGGTGTGAGTGACCAGCACTTGGCTGTTATTAGTAATTTCTGAGTCAGGGTCTCACTTGCCCAGACCTGTCTCCAACTCCTGAGCTCCAGTGACCCTCCTTCCTCAGGCTCCTGCACAGCTGGGATGACAGCCATGCCACTGTGTCTGGTTTATATTTACTAATTTTTGTCTTCTAAGGTCTTGAAACAGTAAGTGTGAATACAATAACCAAGAAATGATGCCATGGTAAGTCAGTTTGTTCAGGCTTTTCCTATAATTCTCAGGACAAGACAGACAGGGACTTTGACTCATGGTGTACTATAAATGAAGGTTATAGTGTTTATTGAGCAAGCATGGTGTACTTAACCGGAGGAATTCAGATCGAAGTACAGGCTGTGTCTTTTGAGTTCTGAGAGCACCTTCTCTGTGCACCTTACACAAGGAGGTGATCTTACACTGTGAACAGTTGCATGTTCTTGCTGGAGGGGCTGGATTCGCCTTACACTTTCCACGTTCCCCCCCTGGGTGCTCCAGGCTGGTGAGGGTTAGGCACATAGCCTGGTCGAGCTTCTCTTTGTGCAAAACTCACTGGTCCCCACATGGTTTGCATCTGATCCCCCTAGTTCTGCTGGAGAAGTGCATCCAGACAATGGTGGGTGGCAGTCAGGGCCAGCTTGGCCCACTGCCAGCCAGGATGAGGTTTGAGGACTAGCTGCTAGGGACAAAAAGCTCTTTCATTGGTGCTGGTCACAGACACAGGGACACACATTCCTCAGCTTCCTTTCTCACAGCTAAGTGAGCAAAGCATGGCCTGGCATGGGCTGCAGGCCTCTCACCATCTAGGACACATTCACTAGTTGTGTCTGTGTCCACACAGGAGTGATGGGGGCGGATGGGACACCAGCCACAACTAATCACTCTGGAGGAGAGACAATCCGCCTTCCTAGTGCTAAGGAACAATGATTCAATGGGACTGAAGAGGGCAGCTTCCGGGCATCATGGGCTTTGCCTGTGTGTTCACACAGACTCGGGCAATAGCCTTATAAGGTCATCCATATCTGAAGATGAGGAAACTGAAGTACACAGGTGACATTATCGGCCCAGATTAACACAGCCAGTAAACGGCCAAATCAGGATATGAGCCCAGGTTTGGGTGATGCCAAAGCCTACCCCCTCCAACCACCATCTCATTCCTTCCCCTGGTAAACCATTTTCACCTTGCCTAGCGACTTGAACTCCTCCAAAATGATGAAGGCAGTTGGTGGAATTTGACAACATTCCTATCTCAAACTTCTATATAAGCCAAGGTGTGAGGAATGACCGCCAGTGACCAACCAAGAACATCAGGACTCAGCTCAGGCTGGGCCAACTCTCACCTGCTTCTGTCACTGTCTCATTCCCTGGGCAGTGGCGGTAAACTGTCATTACTTTTTTTTTTCTTTAATTGCCAATTTCCACTTGAGTAGTCATTAGTTCTTCACGTAAGGACAAATGACTGGGCCGGATGCCAGTGGCTCATACCTGTAATCGTAGCTACTCAGAGGCAGAGATCAGGAGGATCATGGTTCAAAGCCAGCCTGGGGAAATAGTTCGTGAGACCCTATCTTGGGACTACCCATCACTAAAAAGGCTGGTGGAGTGGCTCAAGGTGTAGGCCCTGAGTTCAAACCCCAGTACTGCAAAAAAAAAAAAAAGAAAGGTCTAATGACTGTCCACAGTGGATGGCCAGTCAGTAGGAACTTCCCCATCTCTTCTGTTTCTAGCCGCTATATCACCTAGTACAAACTGCTGCTTTGTTTTCTTTTTATTACAGAAAATTTCAAACACATAGAAGGTAGAGGGACTCATTGGGCAACTGAGTTGACCATCAGCCTATAACCAAGACCAGGCAAGTGAAGAGGCAAGTAAAGAAAACCTGGAAGCCATGACAGGTCTCTTACCATTTCGATAGTGTTGAAACCAAGGCACTGTCACCCAGGCAGAGGTGAATTTCCCCAGCTCGGCTCGGACACGCAAAGACACGTTGAAATGCAGGGGGAAGCCCTTCAAGGGGCTGGCTGTGGTGAAGTTACACTCTGTCGCCGTGATCTGGGTACAGTTCACGCCTATGGACTTGACCGTGACGTTGTGCCAATTACCAGTGGTGCTGGGAAGGAAAGCAGGATTTCAATTCACCGGATTCTCTGCTCTTTTTGGATGACGATGATCCCAGAGACTTTTTTCAAGACACTTTTAATATTATTGGCCTCCTGACAAAGGTCAAGTATGAACACTGCTTTACTGAGAACTGATTCACATATCTTTCAATTCACCTATTTTAAAGTCTACAGTTCAGCTTTTTAAGGGTATGCACAAAGTCATGCAGTCATCACCAGGACCAATTTTAGAATATTCTCATCACTTCAAAAAGAAACCTAGTAGCCATTAGTGGTACCTCTGCATTTTCCCTCAGCCCCGCCCTTAACACTAGGTAACCACTGATCAGAAGATCAGTCTCAATAGATTTCCTATTAAATGGAATCATGCAATATGACTGGGTGACTGGTGCCTTTCACTGGTTCCTTGTGACAAGGTCTATTCATATTATAGCACATATCAATTCTTCATTCTTATTTTTTTTGGTCAAATAATATTCCACTGCAGCTGGGCATGGTGGCAGTCACCTATAATCCCAGTACTCAAGGCTGAGGCAGGAAGATCTTGAGTTGGAGATCAGCCTGGGCTACACAGTGGGACCCTGTCTTTAAAAAAACCCATTGCATGGACTGACCACATCTTATTTATTCATTTGTCATTAGTTGGTAGACATATTGGTCATTCTACCTTTTGCCTATTATGAATATATAAGCTTTTGGTGGATGTGTTTTCAGTTCTCTGGAGAACATACCTAGGACTGGAGTCACTGGGTTATGTGTTAACTCTGCATTCAACTTTTTTTGAGGACTTGCCAGACTGTTTTCCAGAGTGGCTACATTTTATCTTCCTGCCAGTAATGCATGGGAGTTTCTCTGTATCTTTGCCGATGGTTATGCTTCTCTTTGATTACAGCCATCTTCATGAACGTCTGTACCTGGTGTGCAGAGGCGTCTCATCACGGTTTTGAATAATGACGTTGAACACCTTCTCGTGTGCTCTTGGCCATTCATAGATCTTTAGAGAACTATCTAATTAAGTCCATTGTCTATTTTTAAATTGGGAAATATATCTTTCAGTTGCTGATTCCTAAGAGTTCTTTACATGTTCTGGATTCAAGTCCCTTTGCAGATACATGATTTCTCCCACTCTATTCCACTCACCAATTTTTTTTTTCCCTGCGGTACTGGGGCTTGAACTCAGGGCCTACACCTTGAGTCACTCCACCAGCCCTTTTATTGTCATGGGTTTTTTCAAGATAGGGTCTCAGGAACTGGCTTCGAATGTGATCCCTCTGACCTCTGCCTCCTGAGTAGCAAGGATGACAGGTGCGAGCCAGCAGCACCTGGCCTACAAGCCATTTTAATGCTTCAAACCCAGTCTTGCTTGTGTGTGTCTTAGGAATGACACTGTGTTGATACAAATTCCACTCATGCTTCCTGGTAGTGTGGAGTTTTGTTTTTGTCCCATAGCTGCCCATTTAAAGAGGGCTGGCTTCAAGTTTGAAAACCTAGTGAAATACACGGTCACACATCCTTTTAAGTGACAGGACATTCCTAGATTCCCAATGCTTCAACACCTTGACTCTAGTCCTCAGCTCTGATCTCTGTTCTTGTTTTAGGTGATAGACTTCAGAAAAAGCCTTGGGAGTGGCTGCTAGGAGGCTGAGTGAGAGACAGTGGACAGTCTGAGAGGAGGTGCCTGCAGTTTGGGATCTCTCTCTCCTTTATGGTCTGGGACCTTGGGGTTGAGCATCTAGGGGAAGGCTGTGCCCTGGCCAAGAAAACAGAGATTCTGCCTCTGCATCCCATCCCCATGGCCACCAGCTATCACAGACCACATATACTTCTAAGTGTAACTGTGACCCTGTCTGAGATGTATCTTGCAAATGACAAGATGAATGCCAGCTCAAGATGTGTGGCCAGGGCTTCTGTGGAAGATAATTGTCACACACATATAATGCTCAACCCCAAGGTCCCAGACCATAAAGGAGAGAGAGATCCCAAACTGCAGGCACCTCCTCTCAGACTGGGGTGGGAAGGCATCCTCCAAAAGGGGTAAGCAGTTTCTTTTCAAGATATACAAATACAGACTAGATGCAGTAGCTCACGCCTGTAATCCTAGCTAACTGGGAGGTAGAGAGCAGGATCATGCTTCAAGGCCAGCCCTAGCAAAAAGTTTGAGACCCCATCTCAACCAATAAAAGCCGGGAGTTGTGATATGTACCTGTCATCCCAGCTACTTTAGAAGTGTAAGTAAGTTCACAGTCCAGGTCTGCCAGTGCATAACATGAGACCCTATTTGAAAAATAATTAAAGCAAAAAGGGCTGGGCGACGGTTCTAGCGTTTAGCAAGCACAAGGCCCTGAATTCAACCCCTGGTGCCATAAAAAACAAACATACAAATACATAAAGGAACTCTAACTTCCTCTCTGTCAATTCCAGCTGTTGAACTTGAGTGAGAGATCCCCTTCATCTTAAAGACTCGTTTCCTGGTTTACCAGGGAAATCAACCACTCATGTTCTCTCCTCCCCTCTCCTCCAATCTTGCCTCTACCTCGAATTCTTTTTAAAAATGTTTCTCAGAAAAGAAGTTTAAAGGGGAACAAGCCATTCAAATTGAAATGACAGCTGCCACACAAAGGCCCCCAGTTTTGGGGAAGGAAGAGTGGGAACGGATGGTGCTTCCCCATTTGTGTGCAGAGAGCAAAAATAAATGATGCTAGCTGTATTTAAGTGAATAATGAACACAGCCTCAAGTGCATGACATGGTTCCCAGGCAGCCCCTGCCTCAGCAGCTGTCTAAGCTTCAATTACTGGGAAAGTTATGTCTCTTTTTCTTCTCCCTTTTTTGAAACCTGGCAGCAGCAGGGTTTGAACTCAGGGGCTCATGCTTGCTAGGCAGGCACTCTTCTACTTGAGCCCCAGCCCGGAGTCTCAAGTCTTCAACAGGTGTCCTGCCCTTTCCTGTTCCACACTGACACATTCAGTGCAGTTGACCCTGCTCTGGCCTTATGGCACCCGAACCACAAGTGCCTGTGGTGGGAACCGGAAGTGTATGTAGGGCTTCCTTCCAAGAGGAGGCTCAGTTCAGATGAGTGTGTAGGTAGGTTTGTGTTTTCTTTCTGACCTAAGTCTACCTGTGCTGAGGCTCTGCTGACCCTTGTGGTTGTAGCACCACAGAGCTGTGTACCTAGAACTGAAGGGCCTCTCCAGCGACCCTCTGGGCCCTCCTCTGAGGCAGAATCTCTCCCTCCCCTTCTAGCACAGTCTAAGACAATGAGGTCACCCCCACCATGCGAGAGCAATGCGAGCAGCAGTACAGGGGCTGCTCACTGATAACCTTGGCCCTCCTCATAGTCTGTCCCCAGGAGCAGGCACCTGTGTAAATGCAAGAGCTCTGTCCAGCTTCTGTTAAGGCCACTTACAAAATGTTAGCTAAGTCTGCCCCTTTGACTCAGCAATCCCTCTTCTAGAAATGGAAGAAAACAATCAAGAGATGATTTACGTAGGAGGACTTCAGACAGTCACCAGCTGTCATGGCTACATCCATAAGTGGGGAAAAGTTAAATACATCACGTGTGATACTTCATATAATGAAGCATGCAATAAAGATGTTTACCCAGAAATAATTATATGAAAAAGTTTGAAGTTTGAGGCCAGCCTGGGGAAAATTTGTGAGAATCCATCTTCAAAATAATTTGAGGAAAATGTACTGGAGGTTTGTGTCAAGCAATAGAGCACCTGCTTTGCAACTGTAAAACCTTGAGTTCAAACCCCAGTCCCACCAAAACAAAACAAAAAAACCCCTGTATCCCTAAAAAAATAGCTTGAAAATGCTTTCAAAAAAGAACGAAGTGAAACAAGATTGTCTATGATGTGAAATTCTATCAAACTGCAGTAAGCGTGGTTTGCAGTGGCCCAGCGGAGGCAGCAGAAGTTCAAAGCCAGTCTGGTAACACAGTGATACTGACCTTCCTTGCCCCGCCCCCCATCTAAAAAATACATCAATAAAGTTTTTTAAATAGCCATAAACGCATTTCCCTATTCAAGTCTAAGGGATGCCAGTCAATAATCAGATGGAAACTTCTTCTCACTGAAAGTCGCTTTTTAGCCCTAGGAGATTATGTTCTGCCTAGGGCCGACTTCACAGGTACCTGGCCTGTGGCACCCAAGGCCACTCTTAGAATGCACTTGGTTTGATGCTCTGTGGGTGCCGCTTTGAAATTGTTTTGCTTTTATTAAAACAGATCTTAGAAGCTGCTTTTGCTGAGAAGCACTGACTCCTCACTTGGGCCTACAAATGTCCAATGGGTGGCTAGAAGGAGGAGAAAAGCTTGGTGTCCCTGCCTCCATTTCAAATTTGACTGTGCTCTCAGCTGGTCTCTCTGCAGTCACCTTGCACCATCTTGGAATCCAGGAAGGATAGGACTGATCATAACATCTTGTGACAAGACTCGAAACTGCCCCCCGGACAACAATGGCTTTCTTATCGTGACCAGGTGCCACCTGACCACCTGAGACAATGATCGACCGACCCACACAAGTGCTCAGGACTGATTAATAATTAGGGGACTGTTTGCTAATTATGCAGACTTCTCTCCCCCTCCTCAATTCTTCCTTTAAACCTAAATCTCAGGTATGTATCCCAAAGATGGGCTGAAATGTTACTTTGTGTGCTCGTGCCACATAACAAGTCTCCCGTCTCTGCCCTTCACCATGATGAATCTCTTTACTTGGCATGTTGGGGTGACCAGATCTGACATGTGCAACCCCCAGAGTTCAGCCTGTGGCCTAGAACTATGGTTACATTTTCTTTTGTTTTGCAGTGCTGGGGATCGAACCCAGGCCCTCCCACATGCTAGGCAAGTGCTCTACCACTGAGCTACAGCCCCAGCCCACCATCCTGAAATTCTCAATACTTTTTTTTTGGTACTGGGGTTTGAACTCGGGCCTCACACTTGCTAAGCAGGTGCTCTATCACTTAAGCCACTCCACCAGCCCTTTTTCTGTGATGGGTATTTTCGAAATAGGGTCTTGCAAACTCTTTGCCTGAGGTTGGCTTTGAACCACAGCCTCCTGATCTCTGCCTCCTGATTACAGGTGTGAGTCACCGGTGCCTGACTTCTCAATACTTTTTGAACAAGGGTCCCATGTTTTCATTTGCATTGAGTCCCAAAAATTGTACAGCAAGTTTCAGTGGATTGTTCCACTTAGGTAATTTATAATTACGGGAGGAACAGATAAATGTGACTCAGATTCAAAGCAATCATTTTGAGTATAAATGAATAAGAAATCGTCCATATTCCCTTCCTATTCTTGACCATAAATTCCAAATTTTATACAGTTACAACTTCTACCAGATCACATTTAATTACCTTTTTCAGTGGTTGCCTGACAACTTAATCATAAATTACCATGCCACAACTTGCCATTTTCTTTCTGATATAAATATACACTTCAAAGTACATCTTGGTGAATATAGTACTGTTTTGGCTTTTTGGGGGTGGGAGATTATCACCTCAGGGTAAAAGTAATATGGACATATCTATACATTTTTTTTATTATTATTTTTGGTAGGACTGGGGTTTTGAACTCAGGGCTTCAAGCTCACAAAGCAGGCGCTATATGGCTTGAACCATACCTCCGGCCTCCCGTGACTTTTTAAATGTATAAATAACATACAATTACTTTCTAAGAGGGCTTTGCTAATTTGTCCTGCAACAGGCAGCGTGGGCACATATCCACCAGCCCTTCTTACAAGTACTGAGCATCACCATTTCTTTATCCTTCCTTTATTTAGGAGTATAAAATGACTTGGTCAATAATTTTACCTTAATCTTCAATTAACCTACTTAATCAAGTAAACAAATAATAATAGAGGACTTAGATTTTGCCTGTCTTCTTTCTAGCTGTGCTTATACTGCAAATCAAGGATGGCAAACAACGGAATAGCTTGAAAAGGACGTGAGATCTGGAATGAGGGGCCAGAATAATATATTATTCAAAACAGAAAACCCAGCTTGGCACTGGTATCTGACACCTATAATCCTAGCTACTCAGGAGGCGGCTATCAGAAGAATTGGAGTTTGAGGCCAGCCGCAGGTAAATAGTTCACAAGACCCTATCCTGAAAATACCCAACACAAAATGGCTGGTGGAGTGGCTCAGCTGGTAGAGTGACTGCCTTGCAAGCCCATTCCTGCTAAAAAACAAACAGAAAAACCGGAAAACCAGTTGAGAACCAGAATTCATTGTAGTTAACTGACTAAATTCCTTAACAAGCTAAATTTGCCTTGTATGGTTAAATAAATCAGATTTTTTTTTTTTGGAGACAGGGTCTTTCTATGTTGTCCAGGCTGGCCTTGAACTCAGGATTCTATTACCTCAGCCCCCTGAATGCTACAATTACAGGTGTGTACCACTACACCCAGTTTTAAGTCAGATTTTAAACTTGAACAAGATTGAACACTGAAAGCTGCCTCTTTGCCTTTCCAGAACCGAAGTCAACCCTTGTCCTGAAACCAATGAAGGAATAAACTTTTACCAAACAAGATGACACGTGGTTAGACAGCAGACTTCTCTGATAGCCCATGTGTATAAGCATTGGCATGAGTGGGAGGTTATGAAATCTCTATCCTTAGAGTTTTTAAAAGTACAAGAGAAATATCTGCTTCCCACAGATTTGATACAAGCTTGCTAGGAGACAGTAACTAGGAGCTGGCTCTAGGGTTCCATATGACTCCCCACAACTCCCACCAAAGATACCAAAAGAAACATGTGGCTTACTATTTAAACTGCACCCGGTAGACCACTGGTCTTGTGCCATTGTTCAGAGGTGACGATTCCCAGCTCAGAACCCTCTCGGCATTGTACAGGTGAATCTTGGGGTTCTGAGGAGGAGCCAGCTGGGAAAGAGAGTCTTGAAAGGAAGAGAATAAGAGAAGGCGGTTAGGGCTCGAGAAAAGAGGGAGATCAAAAAGAGGGAGATCAATTTCACACACACTTCGGTGCACATTATCAGTGAGTTATGTATACAACCAGTGCTTAATGGTGTTACCCACTCTCCTGGCCATGCCCTCTCCTCGCTCCCACTTGTGACTACAAAGATGCCACTATTGACGCAGTCAGTGGGAGAAAAAGAGGTGCCTGGCTGCCTCACCACCTGCGGGCTCCGGCTGTTAGGTCCTGGGAACGCCAGATCCACCATTTACAACTGCATTTGACTGTGGGCCTCAGTTTCTTCTTCAGGAACCCTCATTCCTGAGGATAATACCAATAGAAGAACACCCCACAGTGCTGGGGTGGAGACTATAATGGTGAGCATACAGCACGTATTAGCCCTAGGCTGGGTTCCAAGGGAGAAAATACCACGCGTGCACATACATGAACGCAAACGCCCCAAATCAGGTACGCAGAACCCAAAGGCGCAGAGTTGTCTTCACCAGAGTAGCTTTGTGTCCAGGACTCCAGCACCCAGTCCCTGAGACACTAGATAAGGCACAGATTCCCAAGTTGCACCCCAGATCAAGAAATCTGCGCTTTCAACAAGCTTCCCAGCTCATTCTTACGCCCATGAGAATTTGAGTCATAAGCAGCAAAAAACATACGATGCATCAGAATGCCCCTCTTTGGGGTGACCTGGAAGAAACCACCTCCAGCTCCCTCCCACCCCAAGAAGACACTCTGAAGGCTGAGACTGAAAGCACAGAGCCTTTTCTCTACAGATGAAGCATGATAATGATAACACTTTCTCTGATCGAAAGATTAATGAGAACTGCTCAGAAGGTAGAAAGAAAAGTTGAAAAACACGCTGTCCCAGAATTCAAAGCAGGAAATTCAAACCACACATTTTCAGTAAATGCATCCAACCCTGAAGAACAGTGTGCACATTGGCCTACAGTATGATCCCCTGCTCTGCTGCTGGGTGACACACTACCCAGAGTCTGCAGCTATCTGTGTACTTAGAGAAGGCCAGAGACACATCTAGGAGCTCTGGCTGTCTGTCCTCAGCCTAGTAACTCTTTATTCCAGCAGCTAACCAATACTCCTCCATATTCACACCAGGCCTCATGGGAACCTGGGCCAAAAGCACACAGGCAAAGCAGTATGCTGGGAGGCAGGCCAATATAGCTCAATGTGGCTATCATCACACAGCTGACATCCAGAATGAGCTGAGAACCAAAGGCCTCCTCTAGGGAGGGCTATGTATTTGGTTGGCTAAGATTGGGCACCCATCAAAGAACCTTTTACAATCTGTATTAGGTTCTTATTGCTGCCATAAGATATCACCATAAATTGAGTAGCTTATAACAACCCAAATTTATTATCTTACAGTTCTGGAGATCAGAAGTTTGAAGTAGATCTAAAGTCAAGGTTGCAGCAAAGCCCTGTTCCTTCTGGAAACATCAGAGGAGAATTCATTTCCTCAAATTTTCCACCTTCTGGAGGCTGCTTGTAGTCTTTGGCTCACGATACCTTCTGCTAGCAATCTTGGTTCCAGTCCTGTGCTGCCCTCTCTCTGGTTCTTGCCTCCTTCTTACAGCTTTCAGGGACCCTTGTGTTGACACTGGGCTCACACAACCCACCAGTCATGGATCAACTCCCAACTTAATCACGTCTGCAAAGTCCCTTTGGTCATGTCAGTTCACATATTGACAGGGTTCAGAGATTAGGTTGTGGACATCTTTCAAACCACATATGCTGCCTACCACACCACTCCTTCACTATCTCCCATGTCTAGGAAGAAGCCAGCAGGAACTGGCCCCCCTCTCCTGGCACCCCATCTTCCTGGTTTAAACATTTAGCTGAGAAAGGAAATACCAAGGTTCCTAGGACTGACAAAGAAGGGCTCCATCCTAAACCATACTGGGATGGTAAAAGAGATCCCTGTCAGGGCCAGGGGATGGCTCAGAGGGAGAGCACTTGCCTAGCATGGGCAAGGTCCTGGGTTCCGTCCCCAGCAAGGGGAGGGGATTTTTCCCAGACCATCCTTCCACTGTCTTCAGCGTCTGCTTTTCTGAGGTATGATGAAGGACTCACATGATAGAACTTTTTGTCTTAGGTGGGAGTTTCTTGTGAACTCCTTATCTCACCGTATTTATAGAAGAAAGTCTTGGAACTGCTGACTCTGTAGGGAAGTGCCAATGATTGCCTGTTTGCTTAAAAACACCTTATACAACTGCCTTCTTCTAGCTCAGAAGGCCTGTCCTTGAACCTCATCTCTGCATTCCAGGCCATATGGCCACGTGCCTCTGGGAAACACCCAGCACACTCCCCACTGTGATCCTTGCCCTTTCCCTGGAGCCCCAATGCTGCCTCATTGGGGCGCCCTCCTATAAATGCCACAGCCCTGAGACGAAATGACAAAGTGCCCTCTGGACTCCTTGTCCTCTGCTGTGACTTTTCCCCAAGGAACGGTTCATATTTAAGTACTCGGTTTGCACTGGGTGGTCACAAGTGGATCCCAGAACTGAGTGGGCTCCTTTGCCACCATCTCACAGGCTTCTGGGCAAGACACTGGTGCCTCTGAGTGGGACTGGTCACAGTACATCCTTTGAGGAAGGAACGAGTTAACTGTGACAGTCCCTCCTTCACACCAGATTGTGCACTCTGGAAAGGCAAGATGTTGCTGGATTTGGGGCTGTTTCAACCCCTGGAATGTGTGGCATGGTGACTGAATGACCGTGTTACTACAAGAGATGATGTGATCAGTTTCTGTCGCCTTCTGTGTCTGGCATTCACCCACTCAGAACCCACACAAAGCCCCAGCTCTCTTTTCTTTCCTTGCTTTATGTGTGAGCCCACCCTTGTCTCGGGAGCCAGAGGCTGAAGTAGGGGTACTGGACGATTCTGGGTCATAGACTTACCTAAGTGGCTCTAAAAACTCAACATATTTGAAGGGATAGCACCTGTCCTCAATGGTAGAGACAGAGGTTTGGTTAGAAGAGGAGAGAATTTAAGGATAAAGGGGTTGGGGCTGGACCCTGATCCCACTGCTTATCACCTCAGGACGTGCCATTCTTCCTGAGCCTCAATCTCTTCAGGAATAATGCAACAATACTCCCTCCTCCAGAGTTGTGACGGGGCAAATGTAAGATCATAAGTGAAAGGCAAACGAGCCACGGCTAAGTGTCATTTTTAAGATGCGCTATTTTCAGGAAATCAATGTGAGTCAACTCCCTGTATAGCTATCCTTATCTCAACCAGCAAAAACCCTTGTTCCTTCCTATTATTGCTTATACTCTCTCTTCAACAAAATTAGAAATAAGGGCAAAATAGTTTCTGCTGGGTATTGAGGGGGTGGGGGGGAGAGGGAGGGGGCGGAGTGGGTGGTAAGGGAGGGGGTGGGGGCAGGGGGGAGAAATGACCCAAGCATTGTATGTACATATGAATTAAAAAAAAAAAGACAGTTATGAATGAGTGAACGGCCGCTTCTGCATGCAGTGACCACCAACAGGTGGCCCCACAATAAGCATGGTGTCCAGTGGTTCTGTCCAGCCATAGGCAGAATAGTGCACCACCCCCCACCAAGATTTCTGTCCGGCAAATGTGTTAGGTTACATGGCAAAGGGGAATTAAGGCTGCGGATAAAACTTAGGTTGCTAGGCAGATGACCTAAATTGGGAGATTATTCTGCCAGATCTGGGTGGGCCAATGCAATCACAAGGGTGTTTCTTTAGGACCTGGCAAAGACAAGGGAACAGATTCTTCCACCTGCGGCCTCCAGAACTTTGACTTTTGCCCTGGGAAACTCACATCAGACTTCTGACCTACAGAATGTGTAAGATAATAATTCTGAAAAAAAAGATAGTAAGTCTGTTGTTGTAAGCCACTAAATTAGTGTCATTTGTCACAGCAACAATAGGAAATTTAGTCCCCATAAGTGGGCACCTGGCCTCAAGGACACTCCAGTTCTAGCAGGTAAATGCTCACAGTCACAAAACATCACCCTACTTATCTTCTCCAGGATCCTGGAGCCAATGAATCATGAACCATTAATGGCACGAAGAGATAAGCTAGGTGTAATCTGTAATTGTGTCTTGTATACCTGTAGTCACAGCTCCTTCTATCCCACCTTCCTGCCCCAATTTACCACTTCTGATCTATCTGGGATCCAGGTGTTTAAGGGCTTTTAGACAAGAATAGGTGCTGGTGGCTCACACTTGTAATCTTAGCTACTTGGGAGGCAAGATCAGGAGGATCACAGTGTGAAGCCAGGCCTTCAAATAGTTCATGAGACCCTATCTCAAAAACAACAACAACAAAAAACCCCCAAAACAGGGCTGGCAGAGTGACTCCAGAAGTAGAGTGCCTGCGATCTTGGATTTGGACTGCATGCTCTGGTTAGCATAGCACACACAGATAATGAGATACAGTTAACATTATCGTTTAACTTGACCATCCAGGACCATCCCTCAGGGGCTTTCTGATGAAAATGAATTACAATGAAGATCAATCATCTCACCTCCAACTGTCTAAAAGTGAGATGTTAAAAAAAAAATCCCCCTTTCTCAGCTATAATCAGGAAGTTGTTCTGAGTATACACTGGACATCTGTCTCTTCCTATAAAGGTTGTTTTTACTTTCTTAGGAGTAAAATCGGAAGATTGACTACTTTGAAAGATGCATTGAAAGACTGAGAGAAACTAATATAAAGCCCTTAGCACCTTATCTTGGAATAATGACTCAATAAATAGTAGCTAGAATTATCCTGTATAAAGTTAGTCAAAAACGATCCAGTTAAGTGACAGATTCAATTGCTGAGATGAGACTTAGTAACTACGCAAACTATGCACGTTTACAGTGGTTTTTCTGTTGTTGGGGACTTGTCTTTGTCAGTGGTCTCTAAGCACATTAGCAGGTTTGGGTGTTCAAGTTAGCAAATAGTGCAATGAAACTATGTGGCACAAATACAAATCAAATCCACTGGAAAATTAAGTACAAGTATTGTAACTATCAAGAGAAGCCTTGATCCGTCAACACTCAGGTAATTAAAGACCTGAAAAGCCAGGTGACTTAGCACATTTTCATGCTGTGGGTTACATTTTTCTATCCAGAGCACAGGACGACCACTTCCGTTAGTTCAGGTTCAGTATTTTACATGTGCTACTGTTAGAACAGGTGGAGGGAGTGACATTTATAAATCTTTTCAAAAATTTCTTTCCAATACTCTCCTCCATGCCACCCCAAAAGCAATCTCACAATTACTGAAGGAAACTTGTAAATTGTGGAATAGGGTGGAAACTTCTTCATTACCTGATTGACATCCAATCATTATTAATATATTCATTTTGTGTTTTGATTCAAAATAGGTTTCTCTTAAAAATATTCCACTTAGGTTTTTTTTTTTAAAGATAAAAACTGTTATTATGAAAATTTTCAAACTTTTTTTTTGGCAGCACTAGGGTTTGAACTCAGAGCCTCACGCTTGCTAGGCAGGTGCTTATTTGAGCCACTCCACCAGCCCTTTTTTTGTGATGGGTTTTTTTGAGGTAGGGTCTTAGAACTATTTGCTCAGGGCTGGCAGCTGGCTTTGGACCTCATCCTCCTGATCTCTGATTCCTGAGTAGACAGGATTATAGGTGTGAGCCACTGGCGCTGGCTCAAACTGTTTCTTCTTAAGTGCTTTTTTCTTTTGGTACTGAGGTTTGAACTTGGGGCCTACACCTTGAGCCACTCCACCAACCTTTTTTGTGAAGTTTTTTTTCTTCGAGATGGGGTCTTGTGAACTATTTGCTGGGAGGCTTAGAACCTCAATCTTCCTGATCTCTTGTCTCTTCGATAGGATTACAGGCTGAGCCACCAGCACCCAGCTAAAGTGTTTCTTAAGAGATTCATATAAAGTGCTATTACTCTTTAAAGGATCTATAGATCCACTTTATTGCTAAACTTTTGTGGAATACAATAAAAGTTAATCTTTACAAAGGACATGCACCCAGGTAAACCGCAGTTTCTAAAGCATTCTCTCAACCTCTGGACTCCTGGCAGGTAAATCAGAAACAGTTCACAGATCCCTGATCAGAGCCACTCTCAAGAGCCCTGATTCAAAGTGTCACCACTGCCTACCACACACCTTGGGCAGTTAGCAAATGTCATCTGAAGGAGGCCTGGGGAGGGGGCACACATGGGTTGCTCAAGAGCTGAAGCTGGGGAGGGAGGGGTAGTCAGGATTCAAACCCTTTTTTGAGCCTCCCATGGAAAACACTTAACCATTTAACTTGGCTACATCTTTCAATGTAAGACTCTATCCGTTAAGGAGACAAAGAACTTACGGCCTTTGCAAGGGACACTGACAGAAAACCAACTCCCCAATACACCTTCAAATGGAGGAAACTTCTAAATTCTTGAGACTATTTAAATTCCATATTCCATACAAGCTTTTCTGTTTTCTTTTCTTTTCTTTTTTCTTTTTTTTTGTGCAGAACTGGGGCTTGAACTCAGGGCCTATACCTTGAGCCACTCCACCAGAACTTTTTTTGTGTGCGTGATGGTTTTTTTCAAAATAGGGTCTCACCAACTACTTGTCTGGGCTGGCTTCCAACCAAGAGCCTACTGATCTCTCCCTCCTGAGTAGCTAGGATTACAGGTGTAAGCCGGTGCCCAGCTTTTTTTTTTTTGAGAGGGGGGTCTCGCTGTGTAACCCACACTGGCCTTCAAGTCCAGATCCTCCTGCCTTCACTTGGGGAGTGCCACCATCCCACCACTACTCAGCCTTTGATAGGGTTTCTGCATAGGAAAAACTCCAGAAAAACAAACACCATACATACAGAGAAAATGTTCTTTGCTATTGAGGTCTTTTTTCTTTTCCTTTAGTTTTCATGCTTGGTTCACAGGGACGTTAGTGTCAGAGACCAGCAAAAAGTTGCGCCCAGGTAAAGGGCTGTCTGGGTGCAGTAGAGCTGAGATTAAAGACCTGGGTCAGCTGACAGCTCTCCCTTCACACCCTGCCCCCCACAACTGGAAGGACAGGACATTTGCAAGATCCGAGGAATTGACTATTTGGATTTCATATCGCAGCCAAAGTAAGAATTAGGTTCCCACCGTATATTCAGGACAGAGGTCCCTGACCCTCAGCTGACCTCCTTGGCACCAAACTACAAGGAAAGACAGTTAGGCCACTGGGGAAGGCCACTGCAGGCAGGGACTCGGTTTACTCCGGCCAGAGAGAAGAATCTGCTGTCAGCAGAGGCAGCTCTTTCCCTCGCCCTGGATTTTTTTTTCCTTTGTTCATTTTGAGAAACCTGGAGACTCGAGTGGCACTCGGGTCCAGGCTCCCGCGGTTCTGGGGTGGGGGAGGAGGAGCGAAAGCTCGTACAGATTCGGGAAGGGGCATGTGAGTGACCCTTTTCTAGGAAGGAGGGCCGGGACTGAGGGAGGAGCAGCTCCCTCCCAGAGTCCTCCAGCTCCTCGCCAGACACTGCCTGGAATTCCCCGCCCGCCACCCACACCCACACCCACTGCGGGCTCCCCGCGGGCCCTCCGCAGACCCTTCCCGATCCGGGAACCCAGCGGACCCCAAGCGATTGGGACCACGCGGACCCCTCCCGGCCGGGACCCCGGCGATTAGCCTACCGGACCCCTCCCGATCCGGACCCCGGCAATCAGTAAACCCTTCAGACCCCTCCCGGTCGGGACCCCGGCGATCGCGGAACCCCGCAGATCCCCACCCAATCGGGGGCACCCACTGACTCGGGCACGCTGCAGACCCGCACCCGCTGCAGGCGCTCTGCGCACCTCCACCGGATCCGGGCGCCCGGCGGGTCGCACGCGATGCAGCGGCGCGGGCGGAGGCCTCGGGGGTCGCAGGCCGGGCTTACCTGGCGGGGGCGCCGCGGCGCCGGGGCAGCAGAGCAGCAGCAGCAGCCATAGCCACGGCTCTGGTCGCATGGCCCAGTGGTCGGCGCGGCCCGGCCCCTGCGCAGGGTCCGCGGAGCCGCTCACGTCGCCGCCTCGGCGGCCATGGCGGGCGCAGGGCGCGCGGGGCCCGCCTCTTCCCGAGCGTCCCCGGCGGCTGGGGAGCCCCGTTCGGCTGCCCGCAGGCGCCCAGGCCCGCCCCGCCCGCCCCGCCCCGGCCACCGTCCCGGCGCCCCCGCCCCCGCGAGGGACTTTCCCGGGTGTTCCCGGGAGCCGGGGGGCCTGCGCTCTCCACCCCGGCGCCCAGCAGAGCCGGGACCCCCCAAGGCGGTCGCCTGCCCACCGAGGGGGTCCAAGAGCAGGGGGCGGGAGGGGGAACCCTGTCCCCCACACCCGGGGGGGCCTCAGAGCGGGGCGGAGAGGGCAACCCTGTCCCCCACACCGAGCGGACCCTCAGCGCAGGGGCCCAGAGAGGGACCCCGCCACGCGCCCACCCGCGGGGCTTGCGATCCTTTTGCAAAGGCCTTGGGACCTTAGCCAGGTCCCCCCACTCCCAGTGACTCTCCCTATTCTGATGCCTGATGGCACAGTTGGAGGTTTCTTCCCTTTAGTTTGTACTTCTGTTACCTGTATGGCCCCCAAAGTCCATTATAAGTTTGTTTTTTTCTTAACCCCTTTTTTTTAGTCGTTAGAAAGGACCGCGTTAACGGAAGTAGTGGTGCTTTGGAGGCTAATGGTCAGAAAGAGGGAGAGAGGGAGAGAGAGAGAGAGAAACTTCCCACATTTCTTAACAGTGCGGGTTTGGCCCAGTGTCACGCTGAGACAGGAGGAAGTAACCCAGGAGCCGGGGTTCCAGAGCCAGCGAGGTTTCCAGTGCCATGCCTGTCAGCAGAGGAATTTGAACCTACTGCACTCCCCAAAAATAGGCCAGCCACGAAAAAAGGGGCAAAGAAGGGGACCAAGAATTAAAGCAGAGGGTCGTCAGGGCCCAGAGGAGAGCTGCCCCGCACCTTGGCACCGTGACCTTTGCTTTGGGACTTCCTGCAAGTTTATTTCCTTTATGAGCAATTCTTTTGAAATTGACCCGTTTGAAAAATATGTGATGAAATACCCAGCAAGTATTTGAATTAGGCTTTGACATAGAGATGTATTTACATGTTGAGTGCAAACAGAAGGCTGTGAGACAGAATCCTTTAGAACACGATGCGTTGAAAACGATTGAGGGAAATACACCAAAATCCCGACATGATGTCAGTTGTAGGAATATGAATGATAAATTTCTTTCTTTTTTTTTTTTTTTTTGGCAGTACTGGAGTTTGAACTCAGGACCTCATGCTTGCTAGGCAGGTGCTCTACCACTTGAGCCACGCCGCCAGCCAGCCTCATCTTGTGTTTTAATGTTTGGATATTTTGGAGATAGGGTCTGGAGAACTATTTGTGCCGGCTGGCTTCCAACCAGATCCTCCTCCTGAGTAGCTAGGATTACAGGCGTGAGCCAACTGGCGCCTGGCTCGTGGCTTGTGACCGCCTTTGAGGTTGCTTTCAGGGGCAAGCATACAGTGGTTGTGGTCTTGACTTAGGATTTCTCCATCCTGGGTCATTCCTTTTTTCCAGAACTTTTTTCTGCTCAGGCTAGGAGGCTTTGGGACTGGCGGAGTGGCTCAAGCGGTAAGAGTGCCTTCAGGCCCTGAGTTCAAACCCCAGTGCCTCCAGAAGCAAAACAAAAACAAAAACTAGGAGGCTTTATGTTTCCCTTACAGAAGTTCTTGGTACAACAAGGAGCTCCTCCCTGGACTGGCATTCCTGTGTCACCTCAAGCACATCATGTCCTAAATGCAGGCGGTTATCTCCCCGCCCCAGAGCACTTGCAATGGCGAGGCCCACTCAATGGTCGGCATTCCCTTTTCCTGTCTCTCCCTCCTGAAGATATAGGTGACCCTTACAGTTCCACCAGGACCCCTGTCTGAAGAGAGGGAAGCCCTCCTCAAGTTGGTTGTGAAAGTTGTCACGCATACGCGGCTCTTTCTTTCCCTTCCTCTGCGCACCCTGAGTATTGCATGTCATCGCCTGAGTTCCCGATAGCTGTTCCTCCCCTTTGGAGACAGATTTACTGTGAACCTGCTGACAGTTTAAGCCTCAGGGGACTTCATTTGCAAGGTATCTTCCAAGGTCATCAGAGGGATTCCTGGCACTGGGTACACGTCACCCGTGCCATGTGCCTTTGTGAAATTTGCAAAGTGAAGGATTTTAACCACAGTTATTAAGACCTCTGTCTCTCCTCTTTGAGTTTCTCTCTGACAAACATCTTCTGTAGGGTGATATCGGGGTGACTGAGATTTCTGAGAAATGTGTTGACATTTTACAGCACGTATAGATATAGATCAAATTGCAAAATGAAAAACACTCTTCTAAACTATCAATAATTTAGAAAACCAGGGCTGGGGGCTTGGCTCAAGCTGTAGAGCACCTGCCTAGCAAGCAAAAAGGTCCTGCCGTGTTCAAACCTCAGTACCAAAAAATACAACATAAAAAACAAGTTGTGACTAGTCATGCTACCTGAATATATACGTATACCTATATTATATGTGTGTATAGATCAATTATTTGACGTTTCACCATGAGCAGCTGTATACACATATCCCAACTAATTGTGAAGTTAAAAGTCACTTTTCTGCCTGTAATTTAAAAACAAATTTTGAAAAATCACGCTAGACAAAAAACTGAGTTAGCTGTCTATGTCTGTAGACTATTAGAGAAGGTTGCCATGGAGACGGAAATGACATAGTAAAAATATAGGTGAAGAAAATGATAGAGTTCTGACTGGCAGTTATAATATCAGTTTATTTTTCTGGATTTTGTGATTTTAATAATGTTTGACAGCTTTTGAAAACTTGCAATGGAAAGGATGAACCAAACCGGGATATAATATATGTAAATACGTAAATGCCACAACAAAACCCCCTGTGTAACTATCATATACTAATAAAAATGTTTAAAAGGTAAAATAAAAAAATAAAAATTTGTAACCTATTGTTTATTTCTCACCTAAATAAATGCTCCTATTTTTATATTCTTGGTTGTGTATTCTTTTACAAAGAGGGTTCCCACATATTATATGATCTTCAGTCCTACAAAACCTGAATGTGACCCACCACTCCCCATTAATTCACTCCTTTCCAGCCAGTTGATCTTCCTGAAGCATTTTCCTGATGCTAACAGTGCAGCGGGGCTCCCCCGCTCCCTCAGGAAGGTGGGCAAGGCTGGCAGAAAGAAGCCAACATTGACTGATGACCAGAGGGGCTTGTGCCTGCCTGCCTTGCCACCCATGGCCCTCATGGTCCAGAGGCTATGACCTCATTGCCCAGATGAGGAAGCCAGCAGAGTTAAGTAACGGGCCCAGTGGTGGAATTGCAGTGTCACCACTTTGCTAAACTGTGACTATACTTTCTAGAATCCCCTCCTCAAACAGTTGAGTTAGCATGGGCAGAAGGAGATGTCTGTGCATAGGATTTGCCAGGTGGAAGGGAAGGTGCGGCCATATTTCTTTATAATTGGGAGGCTGGGCATGAGGCCTTGTTGCAGCTCACAATGTGTGGTTTATCTGCTGACATCCTGGACTGCCTCCCTTCTCTTTCTCCCCTCTTCCCCCTCCTTCCTTCCCCTTCCCTCCCCTCTTCTCCCTTTCCCTCTTTCTCCTCCATTCCCCTCCCCACCCCTCCTAGTTCCCACCAGATTTTTCTATTACAGCTTCACCATCCCCGGGGCCAGGTGTGCATAGCTTCACTTCCTGACAAAGGATGCCAGGTTTTCCTGCAGGACACCCACCCATGTGTTGGTGCAAATTGGAGGCTTGGTGATGGAAAGAGACTGGGTGTGTGTGGGGGGGGTGGTAGTTTGAGATTAGCTTTAGGTGCCTGCTTGTCCCTGCTTCCTCCACCTCCTGTGGCCTCTTCCCAACTTCCTGCCTGAGGGTTTTAGGCTCCAGTAGCAGACACAGGAAAGACAATCTCACATAGACTGTATGACCAACTCCCATGACGGCGTAAGTTCAAATTCGTGTAATGTAACATCTCACGCATGACACATGCTCTTCTGATCATGCCCAAAATACATGAATGGTAAGTGGTGGCGTGACTGACCCGCATCAGTCCTGTCTCACCCTGAAGCCCCTTGCATTTCAAATCCACCTTATTATCCTGCTCTTCAGTCTCTCGTACCCAGGTCCTGCCCTGAGCCCACTGTACTCCGTGTTCTTCAAGACCTTGCTATCTGCCGGAAAGTCTCTGAGGTTGTGGCTCTTGAAGGTCACATGTGCCCTCTTTCTCTGCTCTCCCTCTGTTGTGGTCCCACCTGTTTGCCCCTCTCTTCCTGCCTTCACCTCTTCACCCTCTTCCCCTGTCCCCATGCCTACAACCTAAATTCTAAACTCCATTTCTTGCCTGGGCTTCCAGAGAGCTTTGTGGTCCTCCCTGATTATCATATTTCACTGCCTGAGATTATCTTGTGGCATCATTGGTTTTTGTGGAGGTGACACCTCCGAAGTCAGGACTGCGGACACCTTGTGTGTGTGTGTGTTTATGTACAGGTGAGTGTCCTGCATAGAGTCACACTGAGCTTTGGGAACCTCTGAACCCAAAGTAGGCCATGGATCATTGCTAAGGGGGACCTTGATGTGTTGGTTGGTGTCCTCTCTTCCAGGATCAAGGCCAGAAGAATTGGCACATGAACAAAAAGACAAATTCCCTCAGGTCTCCAGGGTCTGTACTGTTTTCTTACTCTGTTCTTTACAGGCCATAGCCCCCTCCTGTCATGGTCCTACAAATGTTGCATTTCTACTTTATAGTGGAGGCCATTCCAAAAGCAACCCATGTCATCAGCTCTACTTCCACCTGTCAAGTATTACAAAGTATGTCTCTCGACATCTCATTCCCTTCAAACAAGGAATGAATAATGACCTGAAATTTGTCAGGGAGAGGAGGGGACATGTTACAGCTCCTTCTAACCCCTTTATAAGGCAAAAAGGTGCCACATTTTAGGGAAATGTCAAAGCATTAACATTCCTGATCGTGGGTAGGTATGAAAAGTCCCAGCAACCACAGGGTTTCTAAAAGCTGCCAGTGGGAATGGGAAGGGGAAGGCCTGAGATTCTTTTCCTCCTAGATTCTCAGGG